ACCCCTGCCACTTCACCAGGTACTGGAAGCCGGTGGACGCGCTTGTGCCTGAGGATGGCCTTGACGAGGTAGGTGGGCGCGGCGCTGTCGTCGATGAAGACAGGGGTTGGGCAACGATCGGGTGTCGCCATGCTTGGGCTTCAAGTAGCTGAAGTTGACAGCGGTCCTCGCGGTCCTCACGCACGAGGATGGTGCGCCCGCCGAGGTCGGTGCCGTTCAGGGTGGAGATGGCCGCCACCGCCTCCTCGGGCTGCGCAAACTCCACGATGCCCCAGCCCTTGGAGCGGCCTGCGGGAGGGGCGGGGGTGGGGTGGGTGGAGATGGTGAGGGGGGTGGGGTGGGGTGGAGATGGTGAGGGGCCGGGACGAGGCGCTGGTATCTTTGGCCACACGCCCAGACGGGGCCAACCCCGCCTGGTCCATGATGGTTCTCGGCGGGGGAGGAGGAGGCCGTCGACGCCACACAGTAGTCTCACGCACAAGCACATGTACACAAAGGAAGCAGGGATGTGGATGCGCAGCATGCCGGCCGGGGCCCTGGAGTGGTGAAGCTGGCCCTGTGGGGACCCTCCCCCACCAATCCCCATCCAGTCATGGGAGGGAAGCCGGCACCCTGGTGACCCACGTTCCGAGGGGTGATCCCGGGCTCCCTTTGCTGTGAAACAAAGATCTACACACAAGCCAACTTACCACTCTCGTCCTTGATGACGTTGGAGTAGACCACCTCGCCCACGGAGCGGAAGTGGTCCTTCAGGTCCTGCCAGGACGACTTCCACGCCAGGTTGCTCACGTACACCCGGCGGCCCACGCGCATAACTTCTTCCTCTGCAAATGGGTTGATTGGGGGGCCGTGAGCCCAGGGAGGCACGGTCACGGCCAGGCCGCACAGCACCACGCCCAGCGCCGGCGCTCTCACCCGCCATCGTGACGCTTCCTGGCCTCCGGATTCACCCGACACCTCACGCTCCGACAAAAGATTCACACCCTTGCAGCAGTGGGAGAGGAGGGCGAGTTTGGGGGGGTCCCAGGCTCAAGATGGTGCGAGGGCAGGGACCATGCCCCGGGGTCGCTGGCACTGGGTTGTGGCAATGTTTCCAGCTTTCCAAAAACACCCCTCCCACGATCCACGAGTCTTGGCTTCCGTGCCAAAACCCAGGGCCTGGGGAGCAAGATGGACACCTCGCTTGGCCAGTGCTTGCTCTTTGAGCATCTAAAACCGTGTTGAATCTCTGGGCATCGCTCCCCTCTTTGGGTCATCCCTCTGCTCGTGAAAACAGATCGAGGGTCATCGGTGTCGAGGACAGAGGCCCGTGGAAGGCCCCTTCAGACTGATAGGAAGTTCTCGCCGTCCCATCTTCTCCTTGGGTCTGTCTCATCGGCTTTGAGAGCAGGGCGCGCGTCCTCATGGCGGGGTATGGAGAGGGGCTTGACCCGTATACGACCCTGAACACCCCCACCATCCTCCGCACCCGGGACATCCCATGGGACATATACATGACGGCCCGGCTCATCTCCGACCGGGAGCTTCAGTTCCTGAGGCGATATGACAAGAAGGAGCCCACATACCAGACCAAGCTCCTGAAAGAGGCAAGGAACGTTGGGGGGGGGGGGGCAAGGCCTGCCGCCCCTGGGCGTCCACTTTCACCTCTGCACATGGCACGGGACTAAGAATCACCCGTGCATGCCTGCTGTAGGGCGGCAAGCTGTATACAAATGCCTTCCTGACCGTACTGAAGAACGTCACCAAGGACGAGACCCTGCAGTATGTCCTGGCGCTCATCGACGACCTGCTGGACGGTGGGTTGGGGTTGACTCGCAGCAGGGTTTGACTGTAGGGTTTCCCTTCATCTTGGCAACAATCCATGCATGCTGTTGCCTGGCTTGGGGTTTTCTGATGTGGACCTCTTCCCGTCTTGCATTCGTCGAGGCGGTGGGCTGTGCCCCCACTCAGGTGCTCTGTACCTGCGGCCCTTGCCAAGCACCCAAGCATTCCGCATGCCTTCATCATGCAGTGGACCCCTCTCACGTCGCGCTGTTCCTGCCGCCCGGGGCCGAGGAGGACCAGCCATATGTTGAGCCGTACCCCATCCTTCTCCGGTGAGGGCTGCCGTGAGGTGCTGGGTGGTACTGCCTCTCACCTGCCTCCTGCCCTGAGACTGTGTGAGGCAGGTCCTCAATGGCCGCATCGAAAGCAGTTTGCCGCGTCGCAGCCACCTTTCAACCAGCATCATCCCACCCCCACCCCAGGCTGCTGCAGCGCCCCGACTGGTTCACGCAGGAGAAAGCGGCGCGCCTGCTGACCGCCATCCTGGCCAGCCAGCTGCGGCCCAGCGCCGCGGCACAGACGCTGGACGTGTCGGCGGCCAGCCCGGCCGCCTCCGCCCTCACCGCCTTTGTGGACTGGCTGTGCGCGCAGCTGCGGCGACCCACCCACCCGCTGCTGGGCGTGCCGGCCGCGGCGCACTGCCTGGGCGTGCTCCTGCGCGACCCCGGCGTCAGGCCACTGGCCACGCGCGCCGGCGCGGCGGGGCTGCTGGGCGCGCTGGTTCGCGTGCCAGCTGGCGGCGTGATCCAGAACCCCCAGCTCCTGTACGAGGCCATGCTCGGCACTTGGCAGCTGTCCTTCCACAAGCCTGCGGCCGACCTCTTGGCCAACACCGGTGAGGGGGGCTTGTGGGGTTGTGTGTTCGTGTGCATGCTTTCCTTCCTGTCCATAAAAAACCCATGCCGCCGCCCTCACCCCATGCCGCCGCCCTCACCCCATGCCGCCGCCCTCACCCCATGCCGCCCCTGCCCCGCCCTGCCTTCCCTCAAACATCCCACCCCCATTCATCACTCCCTCCCTCCCAACACTGTTCCACAGCCACGGTGGGGGGCCTGGTGGACGCAGTGCGCGTGGCGCAAAAGGAGAAGCTGGTCCGCGTGGCGCTGCTGGCGTTGCAGAACCTGCTGGCGCACGGCCCTGCCGGCTTGGAGTTTGCCATCGTGGACAAGGGCCTGCGCCGGGTGCTGGAGGTGCGCGCGACGCAGAGCTGGGACGACGGCGACGTGCCGGAGCTGCTGGCGGCGCTGGGCGCCTCGCTGGAGCGCGGCGTCTGCGAGCTCTCCTCGTTTGAGCGCTACCGGCGCGAGCTGCTGCTGGGCCAGCTGGCCTGGGGCCCGCTGCACACCGCCGACGACTTCTGGGCGCAGAACGCGGAGCGCCTGGCCGAGGGCAACGGCCAGCTGCTGCGCGTCCTGCTCAAGCTGGTGGAGTCGTCGCGCGACGCCACCACGCTGGCCGTCGGCTGCAACGACGTGGCGCGCTTCGTGGCCGCATACCCGCACGGCCGTGGCATCGTCACCGAGCTGCGTGGCAAGGAACTGGTCATGCGCCTCATGGTGCACCCCGACCAGGCCGTGCAGCGCCAGGCGCTGGCCTGCGTGCAGAGGATCCTGCTGTCCAAGGACCACGCCTCCGCCCTGGTGGCGGGCGTGGGTGCGTGATGGGGAAGGGGAAACAGGATGTCGCGGGCCCTGTGTGGCCGGCGTGCCTGGGACTGCGAGACCAGCCAGCACCCGACAAAAGTTGATGATCTTGCAGCACATGTGATGTAACAAGCCTCCTTGAGCTTGGTGTGGTTGATCGGCACTGCAACGAATCGGTGGTAGATCAAGAGGTGCCGTACCAGGTGCCAGCCCGGGAACGGAACGATGGCGGGGAAGCATGGTGCGTCCAAGGAGCCCGGATCCTGGGCCATCGAGGACCCTGCAGCCCCAGCGCGAGCAGCACAGTGCTGTCATCGAATTCACCATTGCTCAGCATGTCCATCACCAGCCGCCTGAACGGGATGCCTGCTGCCGTCCGTCGGGTGTCCACCTGTGTAGACGGCCTGCGCAGGGTGGTGGTCACGGGCCTGGGGCTGGTCACGCCCCTCGGCATCGGCAAGGAGCTGACCTGGGATCGCGTGCTGGCGGGCGAGACCGGGGTGCGGGCCCTGGCCCTGGAAGATCTGCCGGAGGTGGGAGGCGGTGCTCCTGCTGTACGCCATTGGCGGTCCTGAGGGGCCCAGACCCTTCCAACTCAGCCATGCACGACCCCAAGACCCCTCCTCTCGCCCACCCCCCACCATCCCCTTGCCCACAACAGTCGCACAGGGACAGCATGGCGCAGCTCCCCTGCCGCGTGATCAGCTGCGTCCCCCGCGCCCAGCACACGCCCTACCCCTGGGCGACCCCGCCCGACGCAAAGCGCCACGCGCGCGTGACCACGCTCGCCCTCTGGGCCGCGGCCGAGGCCCTGCTGGACGCGGGGTGGCGCCCGCAGAGCGAGGCGGAGCGCGACGCCACGGGCGTGGCCATCGGCGTGGGCATGAGCTTCTCCACCGACCTGGCCGAGGCCGGCGTGCTCATGGTGAGGCGACTCTGGCCCTGGATCCCCTGCATGCTTCCTGTGAGCAGTGCTGCGCACCCTGGGTCACAGTCTCCACAGTCGTGGACCCTCTCCTGAGCGCAACTCGGGCCCCCTCCCTCAACCCCCCCCCCCCTTTCCACCGCAGTCCCAGGGCAGGCTGCGGCGGCTGAGCCCCCACTTCGTGCCCCGCATCCTCACCAACTCCCCCGCCGGCGCGGTGAGCCTGGCCCACGGCCTGCGCGGCCCCAACCACGCCGCCTCCACCGCCTGCGCCACGGGCGCGCACGCGCTGGGCGACGCGGCGCGCATGGTCGCGCTGGGCGACGCCGATGCCATGCTGGCGGGCGGCGCGGAGGCCTGCATCGACGCGGTCGCACTGGCGGGGTTCAGCCGCCTCAAGGCGCTCAGCACGGCCTGGGATGGGGGGGGCGAGGAGGCGCGCGCCTCGAGACCCTTCGACGCGCGCCGCGACGGCTTCGTGCTGGGCGAGGGGGCGGGGGTCGTGCTGCTGGAGGAGCTGGGCCACGCGCGGGCGCGCGGCGCGCGCATCTACGCCGAGGTGGGACCTGGGTGGGGTTGGGGGGGGGAGTGGCTTCGAGGGGGCGGGGTGGCGGGAGTATGGCACGGCGTGCGCTGAGGCGTGGGTGACGCGGGGCGCGGCACGCTCGCCGCTGGCGGGTCGTGCAGCCCTTTCGACCCCTCCCCATCCGTGTCCCTCCGTCCCGGCAGCTGGCGGGGTACGGCATGTCGGGCGATGCGCACCACGTGACGCAGCCGCCGCCCGACGGGCGGGGGGCGGCGCTGGCCATGCCCCGCGCGCTGCGCTCCGCGCGCTGCGACCCGGACGAGGTGGCCTACGTCAATGCGCACGCCACCTCCACGCCACAAGGCACGGGAGCTTGGTGTTTTGTACAGGGGATGGGGAGTCTAGGGTGGCTGGGGGGTTGCAGCGCCCCGTATTGGATGTGGGGAGAAAAGGGGTGCTGTGCTGTGTGGGCCGATGCATCTGGTCCTCTTCAAAAGACCGCAGTGGAGGTTTGGCAGGACCTTGTGCCTGGCCATTCACCAACCCTCCTGCCAACCCCCAGGTGACGCCGTCGAGGCCCGGGCCATCGCCCAGGTATTTGGCGGCCGGCTGTCCTTGGCCGTGTCATCCACCAAGGGGGCCATGGGCCACCTCCTGGGGGCTGCAGGGGCGGTGGAGGCCGCCATGGCGGTGCTGGCCCTGTACCATGGCGTGGCGCCTCCCACGCTCAACCTGGAGGACCCTGAGCCGGCAGGGCTGCTGCCGGGCCTGGTGGGCCCGACGCCCCTCACGCTGCCGCCCGGCGCCGGGGCGGTGCTCACGAATTCTTTCGGCTTCGGGGGCACAAATGCGGCCCTGGTTTTCACCAGGCATGCAGCCTGAGGGGGCGCGGGATGCGCGAGGGAGCAGTTGACCGCGCCATCCGTACGAGCGATGCCCCGTCCGGAAATTGGATCGAGGCGGGAAACGGACCTCACCTGACGCCCTCGCCCCGGCCATCCCAGTGCGCCTGCGCCCTTAATGGGCGGGGCATGCTCCAGCCCACAGTCCTGGAGATGTCTGGAGTGCCAGCGGAGCCAATGCAAGGCGAACATGAGCCAGCCGGTGGCTCGACTGGGGACACGCCAGAGGTAGACCCTGTTGGCGAGCCTGGTCCCTCCCACACAGCCCCAGAAACTCCCGGAGCAATGCCTGGATCGGATGCGAGCAATGAAGATGTGCTGGCCCTGCTCCCGAAACATACGGTGAGCAGGGACGGTAGGAGGTGGTGCCAGTGCCCCCTATACAATGATAATCGTTGGTGGCCCGTGACAGCACAGCAATCCCACCGGGTACATTTCAATGCGATTTACTCATATTTACATGCAGGTGGTGCGTATCACCGGAAACAACAGGACCAAGCAAGGGTATATAGGCCAGCGAGCTGTTGTTAAACGAGCTGTCGGGCTGGGAGGTTGGCATTGGTTGGTGAGTTCCACGAGGTCCGGAACACGTCCTCGCTGGCTTGCTGGAATTTTGGGAGTGTGGATGCGACTTTTACGGGGGTTCCGGGGGGGGAGTGCGCAGCCTGCATCGTGTCGGGGCTGGTAACAATGCCAGCTCGGCACTCCGAACGCCCTCCTTCGGAATTCCTCTCCAACACCTCCATCCTGGATGTGCCAGATATTGGGAGATGGGGAGGAGATAAAGCTCCAGAGAAACGCTCTCCAAATACTAGAGCATCCCACCGGCAATGAAGCAGTGAGTGCTGGCAGTGAGATCGGAGTGTTGGCTGCATGTATGTTAGATAGTCGAAGGGGGGGTGGAGGATCCTGACTCTCCTGGTGCAGTCCTTGCACTGGAGTTGGGTGCAAATGAGTGGGGGCCGTATTCCCTATCAAAGTTCTCCCCCCTCCAGATCCCTGCTGATCAAGATCTCAACATTGCCTTATTTGCAGGACTTCTCCGAGGAGGAGGAGGAAGAAGAGGCAGCCCCCTCCCAGGCCGCCTCCCACTACAGCCACCTCCCCCAGCACCAGCCTCGGGTCCCGCTCCCACTGCCCCACACGGAAGGGGCCTCCCCCCAGCGAAGATCGTCCAGCCGCACTGCCGCCATCCCGCGAATAAACCTGAACAAGCTGGACATCAACGCCCTGCGACGATATCGCACGCTGCACGGCCTGCCGGGCATAGGGCCCCACACCTCCAAGGACCAGCTGGTGGTGGCAGTGGCCGAACACCTCAGCGCCCAAACCATGGACGAGATGGCGGTGCTGGAGAAATTCAGGGAGCGGGCCAAGCGATACAAAGCGCTGTGAGGGTGGGGACGTGGGAGATCACATATCATACCAGGAGCCAGAGAAGGTTGGGCGTGTGGGGCCTCAGGACGCCAAGCACCAGTGTGCTTTGCATCTGGCCGATGCTGTGGGTCCATGGCCTGCCTGGGGCGAGGCACCGCCGCTCCTCTCCCCCCCTATCGTGCTACTTCTGCCGATCGTCGAGACTTCTCGCCCCACTTCGCACTTGTGTTGCTCAATCCCTCTCCCACGTGGTGTGCTCCCCTGACACCTCGCTGAAGGGCCCTGACTTCCCTCTGAGAATGGCTGCTCGCCACCCTATCTCCCCTGGCTCCTCCACTCAATTCCTGACCATGCTGACCTACCCCTACGTTGGAGTTGCTGGACCTTGTCCCTCTGACGTACACTTGCGACTCGGACCACCTCAACCGGCACCATTGACATGACAGACTCCCCTTCAACCATGACACGACTCCTCCCCCCTCCTTCCGTATCCTATCCCCCCATGCCCAGGGACACCCCACTCCGGAACCCCTCCCACCTCACCCCGGAAGGTCCCATGGACTGTTAGACCCCTTCCCACCTGCACTGTGCCTCGACCTGTTGTACCAACATCGCAATCACCAGGAGGGCAGCAAGGGCATGCAGGCCCGCAGGTGCTAGGCGCCGGGGTGGATGAACACCTCACGCGGCTGCAGGGTATCCAGCACCGCCCCCGTCCGCTCGTCAGTCAGCAGGCAGCCGGCCAGCAGCTGCTGCCCGGCGGCGAGGGGAAGGAAGCGCAGCGCCACGCGGTGGCGCTCGCCGGGCGCCAGGGCCGGCGCGGGGACAGAGTGCTGGCCCGAGGCCACCACGGCGCCCGTCGTGGCGGAGCCGCGCCACGACACGAGCAGTGGGCCGGAGGGCCGGCGGCCGGCGTTGTGGACCTCCAGGCCCAGCAGGAAGGCGCGCTCCTGGTCAAGGCGGGGAGGCAGGCTGCAGATGCGCAGAGAGAGGTCCGAGGGGGGGGCGGCGGGGCCCGCGCCGGGCGCGCTCCTGCTGATGGTCTGTGTCTGCAGCCGCGCGGTCTGCATGGGGGAAGGGGATGCATGGGATGCGGTTGCGACCGGCGGCACACTGGCCACCCAGGAACTGCTGTGGGGTCATGCAACACCATTTCCGACCCTGCATGCCTGCCCGCAAGGATGCGGCCGGCATATTGCATGTAATGATGTGCCTCACCTCGCCCATGGGCCCCGTCCACTCCAGGTCCAGCTTGCCCAGGGGCACGTTGCCGGAGCCGGGGTCGCGGGGGGCTGTACCCGGCCTGGGGGCCCCGGGCTCTACAGACAGGCGGAAGACCAGTCCATACGACCCGCCGTTGGGGCAGAGCAGGGGGTGCTTGGCCAGCGAGCGGCTGTGGGAGGGGCGGCGGATGGGGTAGGAGAGAAGTGGAGAAGCATGCACCATCAGACGGGGAGGAGGGGCCAGAGCTCAGATAGAAGGGGGTTCCCTGGGCAGCGGGCACGGATTACAATGCTGATACCTGAACAGGCACAGCCCAGCCCGAACAAAGGGTTCTATCAAGCAAGAAACTCCATGGCGGTGGGCAAAGGGCATTGTTATCAAGACATCCTCCCTCACCGATGAAACAAACTCCCAGTCGCACCTGAGGGGTCCCAGAGGAGGCTCGCTGTTGCCATCGCCGGCAGGGGCTGAGACCTCCTGTGCGACATAGGGCGCGTTGGCCAGGAAGGCATGGCGTGTGAGTAAAAAAGGATGCTGCACTGCGCTCTCCAGGACCACCTCCAGCAGGATGTCATCGTCCACGGTGCGTTGCTGCGAGGGGTGTGGGATTTGGGCACGATCTTGTATCGGGAGTGGCCAGCCTATGACGATGCCACAACTTCCCGTAGCGGACGAACAACTCACACCAATGACCCAACCTACCATGGACTGGTCACTCATTGATTACATGCAGGCTCACAACCTAGCCCATATTCTTCCACACCTTGGTCCGGACGATGAGGGGATTGGCGGCGGAGAATCGGAATGCCTGGGACTCCTGCCGACGATTCCCGTCCGCGTCCGTGAAAGCTGCAGAGCAGGTGAGGGTGTGCAGCCCCACCTCCTTGATGCCATGGTTTATCAGGATGCTGTGCTGCTCACCAGCGGGCAGGGTGAGATGGGAGCCGGCGGCATTGCTGTGGAGGAGGGCCCTCCCGCCCTCGGTCTGTATTTCAATCTACAGTGTGGGACGACAAATGGGTACTAGATCGATCATTGGCAGGTTTCAGTGGTCCGTCCAGGGCTGTCACCTCAACAGGGCCATGCTGAGAAGCTAGGTCGCCACCTAAACCTGCAAATCCCTGCATCTAAACAATGGCTCAGGTACTCACTGTGACGGAGAGGCTGGACACCGGTGTGCGATCCAGATTGCACAGCACGACACACGCACGAAAAGTGTGTCCCAGGTACACAGTCCCGAAAGTGGCAGGAGTGGCCAGGACTGCGGATGGTCCAAAGCCATCATCGGCAGTGTGCACCCTGTTGGCGAAAGGGTGCTGCAGGGGGAGCGACTGGGGGTCGACCGAGGGGATCGCCTCCATGTCATTCAGCAGATCAAACTTGTAGGGTCTGTCGTCCGGAAATTTGGGTGGATTCAATCGCATCACCCTGAAAGCGAGGGAGTGGGGCTCCGCCATCGCTGTGCAGCACCGCCTTTAGGAAAAATGATGCGGGGTGGCACCAGGCTCCTCACTGTAATTTGGATGTATGCCACCAAATGGTCGAGTCTAATCCACACTCCAAGACATCCCAATGCTCTTGTGTGTGCAGGCTCACGCCCTTCAGATCACTTTGCTCGCTGCTGGGCATGCGGGGCTTGCCAGCCTCCCTCGCGTCATTCGGATCTAGGCACTGAAAACCAAGGTGTCGAACAATACATTCCTTCAAGAATTTAGCGGCTCAACTTTACTTAGGGGAAAAGCATGTCTGGGTTCTTCTCAGAAGGGATGACATCGTTGAGGTCTTCCCTCCCAAGAAGCTTGGCCACCTGCCATTTATGGAGGCATGGACTGTGATGCACAGAGCCACCTTGGAAAGATCACTGGCAGCATGGCCCCTGTGAGCTAGGCATGAGGTCCCCAAACCACCACCTCACCATGCTGGAGAAGGTGCCTGCTTTCGGGAGCGTCGTGAAGTTGAAGGGCTTCACCACCTCCCTCCGCTCCTGCATGGAAAAGTTGCGCAGTTCATTCGCCCTCTCCAGCGCCCCCAGATTGGCTTCCATGTCGGCCCAGGCCTGTGGCATGAGGAGGACGACAAACATCAGAGTCCATCCTGGTGTGAAGACATTCCGGGCCGTCTTGCCCACGTGCATGCGGCACTCACGAGTGTGCCCAAAGACAACCATTCTCCCGCCAGCTCAGGCAGGCTTGATCCCACCACTCGCCCGATCCCCGCCTCACATTCCAACTGGGACTGCTCTCCGGGTCTGCCTTGACCGCACACTTAAAGAGCTCCCGGGCAAGCCTCGTGTTTCCATTCCTGCTTTCCAGCACCGCCCATGGCTGGAACAGGTGCGCTGCGCTCTTGGCGCGCGGGGGGCACATAGAGATGCCCCTCTGGAACAGCGCCCGAGCGGAGTCGTTGTTACCCTGGCGGAACTCCAGGCATCCCCAGCCCTGGGCGGTCGGAGGGAGGCTTGCATGGGGTCGGATGGTACAAGCAAACTCTCCGCTGCTCAAGCTTGGAGCCCCAGCCACTCCATCATTCCCACTTGGAGACCACACAGTCCCTCCCCAGCCCACCTGCCATACGTAGAGGTGCGAGGGGTCGGCCACGGAGCCCTGCTTGTACAGCTCCCGCGCCACGCCCACCTCCCCCTGCTGCTCCTCCAGCTTGGCCCACGCCGACCAGAGCGCCGCATCCCGCGGGCAAGCCTGGGTGCCCTGCTCCAGCAGCTTCCGCGCGGCTTCCACGTCGCCCGCCGCCTTCTCCCACATGGCCCATGACAGGAGGAGGTAGCGCGACCCCGGGGCCGCCTGCAGGCCGCGCCGGTACAGCGCGCGCACGCGGTTGGCGTCCACCGGCTGGCGCCTGGACTCCAGCGCCGCCCACGTGTGCCACAGCGCCTGGCTGGACTTGCCCTGTGCTTGGGTGGAGGAGGGAGGAAAGGGGCCGGTGCGTGCATTGACACACACGAGTCGGATTTCCCAGGGTCTCACTGGCACAAAAACACCTTTGCACAACTGAGCTCACAGGGGGATCCTACCATTCGCACTTCATTAACAAGAGGCACAGAACCCACATGCATTCCACTTTTCTCCCCTTGCCTGCACGGTCTCAGTCCCCTGCTGGCACCATTTCCTGCCTTCCTCCAGGCACCCCATGTCCATTGCCAGCAGCGCCAGAGCGTGGTAGAGGTAGGGATTTGGGGTCCCTCGCGTCGCTCCAAGGCCCTTTTTTTGGTGGTGGGGCGGGGGAGGGTGGAATGCAATGTAATCAACCAAATTTAAGCAAGGGATATCAATGGGTGGTGCAGTGGTGGCCCCACCGCTGATTCAACACGCTCACAACAAATACCCTCTCTCAACCCCGGCTCACCTTGATCCAGAGGTCACGCGCCCGCTTCACGTTTCCCTCCGTCCTTTCCAGCTGGCCCCAGCCGTGCCAGGCGGCGGCGTGCGCGGGCGAGGCCACAATGGCGGCGTCGAACAGGCGCCGCGCTTTCCCCAGGTCGCCCTGCAGTCGCGCCAGGTGGGCCCAGGCCGTCCAGATGTGGGCGTTGGCGCCGCAGGTGGCGGTGCACCCAGACTCGTAAAGCGCCTCGGCCTCGGCGAAGCGCTTGCCACTGACGAGGACCTTGCCCAGCGCCACATAGGCGCGGCCGTCAGTGGGGTCCATGGCCATGCAGGCCCGCAGCGCGCCCTCCGCCTCAGCCAGCAGCTTGGCGCGGCGAGTGGGGGAGGCCGCGCGGTAGCCGGAGATGCGCAGCTGGCGCGCACGGTACTGTCGGGTTTGTGGCAGTGTGTGTGCGTGCGTGCGTTGAGGGGTGGGAGGTGGAGGAGGGAGGGCACGGACTGGTTTGCCGAGCACACAACCTGCTATCGGCAACCCAGATAGAAGCAAACGCCAAGGGGCATTGCCGCCAGGCAAGGCAGGGGCCATGTTCTGGGAGCCTACTGCTGGAGAGCGCTTCATCAAGCGCCTCATCGGAGTACACCCTGCAAACGCGGATACCTTCACTCGAGCCTGTCACCCAACCAGGCATGCATACGAGCGTTCATGCCAGCAAACACCAGTCCCCCACTTCGCCCCACACGCGCTACTACCCCAACAACAGGTCCCTCCTCACCATGGCCAGGTCCTGGTTGATCTTGAGGGGCTTGGGCGGGTTGTCGGCGGGCTCCGGGACGCGAGCAGGCAGAAAGGAGGGTCCCTCGGCCACCCTCACCTCCCCCAGCAGCTTGCCGTTGCGGTCCGGGGGGGTGAATGCAAACGATGCGGAGAGTGCGCGAGGCCGCGTCGGGACCCTGTGAGAGGTCCTGCAGAGGTCTCGCCTCTTCCATGTGGTGTGGATCGCGGGGCAGGCGGAGGCTGTACCCCGATGCAGGGGGAGACTCCGCATGGCTCGAATCTCCGCATGCGCGGAGGTCGAAGCCGCCTGGGTCACTCCAAGAGTGTCCATGACAGCCACACAAGGTGAGGAGAGTGCGGGGTATCGACACTTAATCAGACAGAGCTCATGGAGTCTTTGGAGTCGCAGCGGGCATGGTGGAGATGTTGGAGCCCGGGCCTCCGATCGACCACCCGAAGTCTGTTTGATCCTGGCGCCCGATCGTCTTCATGGGCCAGCTCACAGACAGCGATAAACGGCAAGTGTATACCATGCACGACCTCTAACTCGACAGACCCTGCAATAAATCCTCTCCAGTTCTCGTGACAATGATGGGGGTACGAGCATGTGGTTTTACATCTACAAAGCCTGCCAGTCGTCCCATGGGCGAAGGGGTTGGCATGGCCGCTCCTTGCAGCGCTCGCAGGGTGAGTTCCATGTTTGGAGATGCAGGACGAAGCTTGGTCACTCGAGATATCTCTTAACATGGTCGACATGTCGAGCACATAAGATCTGGAGTGTCAGCATTGTCCTGTACGCCCCACATGCACAGGCTAGCCGATCCAGATCTGCGGTCATCGCCATGGCCTCGGCCGCGCCGTCCAACATCCTCATGCTAGGTGGGCAGCCATGCATGATGACGAGTGGTCAGGCGACTGAAAAGCACGTGAGGGTTCCGTGATTGCGTCGTGGCCCGGGCAGGACCTTGTCTGTCTTGGAGATTTGGAGGACTGTGGAAGGTATCACTTGGCCCCATCCAGGCCATGCATGCCCCTTGCCCGGGCTGCCCCATCTCTTCCTACCACCATCCAATCTCCTCCTTCCTGCACCCAGGTGGAACCCGGTTCATCGGGCAGTACCTCGCCCGCCAGCTGGTGGAGGAGGGGCACCAGGTCACCCTGCTGACCAGGGGCAAGGCCCCCATCGCGGCCCGCATCCCGGATGACACCGACGAATCGCACGCCGCCTATTCTGACGCGGTCCAGCACATTGCGGCTGACCGAAAGGATGCCGACGCTGTGAAGAACGCTCTGAAGGGGCGGGAATTCAATGGTGCGTCTTGGTGTGAGGGCCGGAGGGAAACAGTGGGGCTTGTATGTGACGCTGCCACCACCTTGTGCTGGATACGATGACGCAGACGTCCCTGAGACCACCTGTGCAAGCTCAACCTCCCTGCAAAACCCATGCCATCATGTCCTGGTGACAGCGATCTCAGCCCCACGCCCCTTCCCCATGCAGTTGTGTACGACATCAACGGGCGTGAGGCAGAGGAGGCAGATCTCATCCTGGAGGCCCTGCCCTCCCTGGAGCAGTACATCTACTGCTCCTCTGCGGGCCTCTACAAGGCCTCACACGAGCTGCCACACTTTGAGACGGACGCCGGGGACCCCAAGTCCCGGCACAAGGTCGGAGGGGGAGGAGAGGGGGGTTGACAAGGTGGAGGCGCCGAGGGAATACCCTCTCGCATTGGCCCCCCAAACCCGCCCTTGGGCCCGTCTGCATGGGCGCTTCACCAAGGTGAGCCAACCTCATGCACAGGGCAAGCTGAACACCGAGGAGCTGCTGGAGAAGCGCGGCGTGAACTGGACCAGCATCCGCCCGGTGTACATATACGGCCCGCTGAACTACAACCCTGTGGAGGAGTGGTTTTTCCACCGCATTGCGGCGGGACGACCCATTCTGGTGCCGGGCAAGGGCAACCAGGTGACCCAGCTGGGGCACGTGAAAGACCTGGCCACCGCCTTCCGGAAGGTGCTGGGCAACCCAAAGGCCGCTCGCCAGGCCTACAATATCTCGGGGGAGAGGTGAGTGCGTGGGTGAGGTGACATGGGAGGAGGGGGCTGGTCGCAGGGCTGGACCTCCCGACATGAGTGCGGGAAGAAGGCACACCAAGAGATTGAAGAGCACTGGGGTATGAGAGGGATTGCTCCTCCTGTTCCCCAGCATGTGTTTGGGCCTTTTCATGGCCTTACAGCACCCATCAGTGAGCTGCAATCCCTTGCACATGCAACCTCCCTCCCCCGCTCCAGGTTTGTCACCTTTGACGGCCTGGTCAGACTGTGTGCCGAGGCCGCCGGGGCCCCCGAGCCCGAGCTGGTCCACTTTGACCCCAAGGCACACGACCTGGGCAAGGCCAAGGCATTCCCCCTGCGCGACCAGCACTTCTTCACCTCCATCGCCAAGGTCTGTGTGTCATTCTTTGTGGGGGTTGGGGTGGGTCATTGTCCAATAGTGCTGTCCCGGTGCGGAAGTTCATGACTTACCCAAGGCATCGCCCCTACTGCAACCTCTCCTGCGCTGCAAATTCAACAGACAGCTCTTCCTCGCCCCCTCCCAGGCACAAGCTGATCTGGACTGGACCCCGGAGTTCGACCTGGCCGCTGGCCTGCGTGACTCGTACGAGAAGGACTTCTCCAAGACTGGGGGCCGCAAGAAGGCGGACTTCTCCGTGGATGACCTCGTGCTGAAGGGGGCCGGCAAGCAGGCCGTGCCTGCCTGAAGTGCAGGCATTGTTGTTTGAGTGAGTGGGCCATCACCTGCATTATGCCCTGCCCCTGCACAATGCTGAGGTTGAATGCGGACAGGTGTCTACATCGACGGGGGCCCACTCATTCCCTGGGTACACCATCTCTGTAAGTTCGGAATAAGCCTGGCAGTCCATATATCTTACATTGCACAGCGGAGTGGCATCGAGCAGATCAAAATGGGACAAAAGGGGGGTGGGCAAGGTCCAACCCGGACCTCGGCAGCTGGATGTATACAGGTTTCACAAGCTCTGACAACAGTATGGGTGGAAAGGAAGGCTTGTGCGGCTGATCGAAGACCACCGCCTTGAGAATGTGGGGGAAAGCAGTGTTTGCGAAACGCTCTCATTGAGCACAGGAAGTCAGTGTGCGGGAGTCTGCTCAAGTGAAGGTGCAAATGAATGGTGATATGGTTATTGATCGACTCGGTCCGGCAGGTGGCGCACGGACGGCATGCCTGCCGCCCTGCCCCGCCTTGTGGCAAAGAATGGGTGGGTGTATCGTGCTCGTCGTCCTAGCTACCAAGACATTAGCAGTTCTCTGCGCAAGAAGCTTACTTTCTCTCAAATGGGGGGGTGGGGGAGGGGGGGCCGATCCTGCGCTCCCTCCCACCCAAAGAACATGGGGGCAGCCTCTGAGCGACCTAGCCCAGCAGCGCCCAGCCTACCACCGCAGCTCGGGGGACTGGAAGTACCGCCTCAGGGCCGCGGTGTAGTGCTGCTCTGCCAGCTCGACGTGCAGGCTGGGCCGCCTGCCGCCCAGCGGCGGCCGCTGGGCCGGGCAGGCGGCCGGCAGCGGCGCGCTGGTCTCGGCCAGCAGCTCCTGGAACTGGAGGAGCAGCGGCAGCCAGGCACGATCCGACGGCGACAGGAGCTCGTGGTAGGGCTTGCCTGGCTTGAACAGGGCCTTGAAGGACTGGTGCCTGTGGATGTCAAGAGGATTAGGGAGGGGTTGACGGCTCAGGCATGAGACGATGGCCGATTCAGGGCGGGACTTGGCCATCTCAGCTCTTGCTGGCATGCGATCCAGAGGTCCCTTTCATTGAGATCAGCGAGAGAGTATCACAACTCCTTCCACGATATAACCCTCGATGGATGCACTTCTCCTGATGTAGTCATCCCTACCAAGTCAGTTCCCCTCCCCCGCCAAGAGCGTACCACTTCATTCTATTGAAGCCAGTACAAACACAAACACACACCCGCACCTCAGGAGGAAGAGTGCCTCGGGCGGCAGGCGGGAGCCATTGAGGGAGAGGACCATGTACAGGTACTCCGCCCCCGTCCAGCTCATGTAGACGTTTTCCAGCCCGCACCCAGTGCTGTACATGCCGGTGGGCGTGGAGTACGCCTTCCTGCGCCTGTCCGGGTTGGTGAAGGCAAAGGCGCTGGCCGCCACCGCAGCGCGCACTCTGCACCCCACGGGGAAGGATTCGGCATGTAACAGCCAGCTGGGCTCGGAGCCCCATCTGAAATGAGGGAGGGAAGTTGGGTCTAGGGGGTCAGGGGGGCCAGTGATAGGGAGGGTCCTCTGGAAGCCCTGTACATAAAGTAGGATGCATCGATGGACACACTGTGCGCCAGCCACATTGAAAGGCTCAAGGTAGAATCGCACAGCCACCACTCTGGAAGCACAACAGGCATGCTTGTCTCCCCACCACCAACCACTTTTCCCGCTTCCCTCTTCATCCCACCTGTCGTGCCCCAGGACCTCTCCCACGCGCGCCAGCAGGCCCACCACGGGCATCCAGGGCAGGGCGGGGAAGAGCTTGGCCGCCGCGTCGGCGGTGTACAGGGCGCGCTCGCGCGACCCCGGCGCCAGGTCCTCCAGCGCGTCCAGCACCTGCCAGACGGTGAGCGCGCCGCGGTCCAGCTTGGCAAAGCGCGCGCGCCGCGCGCGCACGAAGTCCATGGTCTGCCGCGAGGAGTTCATGCGCGCGTCCAGCTCGCGACTCGCAGCCACGCAACGCTCCTCCTCCGCCGGCCAGTCCATGCTGCATCGGCCAAAGGGCGCGGGGTGGTCGCCGCGCCAGGCGTCGCTGCCCAGCGCACTGGGAGGAGTGGCCAGGGCCAGGCGGTCGTGGCCCTTGCCGCTCTGACCCATGAGGGGTTGGGTGGGGGCGGGGCGCAGGGCGGCGGGGGGGGAGGAGGCCGTGGAGGAGGAGAAGGCGTCGCAGAAGGCGCGGGTGTTGATGCTGGGCAGGGTTGAGGGGGGGGGCGTCTCCTCGAAGCTGGACCGGCCTCCGGCCCGGGAGCTGCACAGGGAGCTGTCGGAAGGGGAGCAGGACCCCGACCCTGGGCTAAGAGGCTGCTTGAAGGGGTGGGGGCCCGGGCCCGACATGCCGCCGCTGATCGCCACCCTGCAGGAGTGGGGGAGTGATGAGCGGGCTGGATGAGAGATGGCAAACGGCCATGCCACAATGCAGGCTTGGCGCCAGGCACACGCCTTGGAAGCCAGGTGATAGGACCTGGCCATCTTGCCGACAACCTGGCCCATCAATCCCTGCCAGGATTGTCCCACACTTTCGATCCAGTACCTGGAAAGCTGATGCTGCATGCTGGCCAGGAGACGACACGCCGCGGTCTGTTCAGAATCGCCAGCGCGTCCTTCATGACCTAGGCAGGAGGGGGAGTTGCGGGAAGGTTGCTTGCTCACTCCGAACGGGAGGCCGGGGGGGTGCATGAGCACGGCATGCGCACCGAAAGATAGAGTAGCACTTTCTAGCCCCTCACGCCTCACCGGAGGGCTGACTGCGCAGAGCCATGGCGCTGGAGATGAGGTTTGCTGGGAGCCCCGTGTAGGAACTCCCTTTGAACATGGCGAGGTTGGGGACCCCGCCGCGAAACGGCGGGGGCCCCGATTCTAAAAGAGAAGGGTTGCAACCATCCCGAGAATCCCGGGTGAGAGCCTGCGACACGGAGGACATGGACAGCGGGGCCCCGGGAGGAGGGGGGGAAGCGAGCGACGTGCTAACGGACAGGATGACGGCCTGCGTGGCCGCTTGGAGGAGTCAACGTGGTACTTGAGCGATAATCTGGAGCATGAGTGGAGCTTTTTGGCGTCCATGGTCGTTCCATGGCGATATAATCGGTGTCGTTCGCAGGAGGATGACAGACAGCCTGCCCCTATTCGACCCAGGAAAGCATGAACGTGTCTCGGCCACAAACTTGCGAGATTCTGTGTTTTTATTTCGGATGGGATTTTCTCATGGGCACTCTTCGCGGAGCGCGACATGATTCGTCGATGAGGGACCATCCCTGACGAGAAATTGCTTGCTGGCTCTGACACCCCTTATCACAATATCGTTAACAGCGCGATGCCATCAGAAGAAAAGATTGCGTACGCTAAGCAAAATCCGGGGGAGATCTTATACTCGGATTGTACCGTGGCTCCTTTCACGAGATTCCCAACAGCGGGCCCCGGAAGCAAGGGCTTCATAGTCGTGGGTGATTCAATCCCTCTCCCGTACTGGATCGGGAGGGGCTGAACAGCGCCGACTTCAGCTCCTTAGTAGCCTTGTTGAACGACTCCCTGCGGGTGAATAGTGAAGCTTGAGATACACAATATACCAGCCAGAGGCATCGGCTGCACAGTAGCTATACTCATCAGCTGGCCGTGACTGCCAGGACAGGCAGACATTGCACTTCGAGTCTACATAGTCCACCCGGGGGGCTCCCTCACGTCCTGCTTGCACACGCAAAAGACCAAAAGGGCCACACCTGAACTTCAACTTGGCAAGGCGCGATTTGAATGAGGATGAGGGCGCCAAGGACGGCGTCTGGTCCGCGTCATTCTCCCCGTTCCTCAAGCGACTGGAGCTGGCAGCGGCCTGGGCCCCCTCCCCTGCCGGCGGCCAGCTGGCGGGAAACGCGGGCCCCGCCCTCGCAGGCGTTGAGGGGCAGTCGGGGGACAACCTCCCCGCCTCGGCGGCCGCCTCGGCCCGTTGCAGGCGGTGGGAGGGACCCCGCTCGGCGATGGGCTGCGGGGCGGTGGGCACCGTCGAACGGCGGGCGGCTCGTCTCGCCGCCCGCCGTTCCTGCCGGTGCCCCACCGCCGCCAGTCGGAGGAGTAGCCGCTCCAGCTCCCACCCCTCCTCGCCCACCTCTCCCAGAGGAGCGTCAGTGGGCACATACTCGCCAAAGGGGAGGAGCTCGTTCAAAGCTTCATCCTGGTGGGGAAAGGGGAGGGGGGCGGATATTTGCTGGAGCAGGTGGCGTGCCAGTGCAGATGTTTGGCAGGGGAAACTTGTGGGTGACAACAGGGGGCCCAAGCGGCGCAGCGCTGCATGACCACGGAGAGGCTGGAACACGGGCCGGTGCGTGGAAAGAGGACACAACCCTTGCCCTGGCCAGAGCTCTGGGCAGAGGGAGAACACCTCAATCGTGAGGCAAGCGGTACCCCACCTCGAGTGTCAGCAGCTTGAAGCACATGGGGCATTCCCTGCTGCGTTGGGCCCATTGCATGACGCACTGGAGGTGGTAGCAGTGTCTGAAGAGTTGGCGAGGAGGTGAGGGAGGCTTGCGACACAGGGACACGCTCGGGGACAGGCTTGACACAGTTCGACACGCATAAGGTACACGTTTAGGAGAGCCCTGCTTGGACTCACCCGCAGGTAGTGGGGATGCCGGGATCGGCCTCCGTGAACTCGTCAAGGCAAATGGGACACACGCCCTCCTCCTCCTCCTGCACCACGATAGCCTTGCGCGACAGCTCGACGCCATCGACCTCCTTGATGACTTGCTGGCCAGGGGAGGAAGGTGGGGACGGCTCGCTGCCCAGCAGAGGGGAGGGTTCCAAGACCGGGCACCCCTCTGCCTCCAAATCAAAAACTTCCTCGCCCAGCATCGCCAGCACACGAACCCATGTACCAAGGGAGGAATACTTGCGCTGCAGAATCGAATAGCCTGTGCCGCAGGTGGGCAGGGTCGACGCCAAGTATCTGGGAAGGCTCTCCACCTGAGGTCTCGGAGGATCGCTTGGTTGGAAAGGATGGCCATTCGTGAGGCAGAACCACCACACCAATTCCGACTACTAAACAGCAACAGTTGTTGTGTGGTAATAACTCCAATTTTCTAAACAAGACCAGACAGGACGAGGTGCTAGGCTTCATGTTCAACAGTGCTTGCTCTCTGAACTCCACCCTTGCCACCTGGCATTTTCACAACGAGTCCTCCCAGGTGTAGATGGCTCTTTCTGCTGCTGAAATCATGCGCATCTTGCGCCTGGCCTCATTCTTGGACTGCTTTTCGGCTATTTCTCGCAAGCGCGTCTCTCGGGACTCCCAGGCCAGCCTGAATTTCTCCGCAATGTGTACCACCACTTCTTCTGGTGGGGGAGCGGACCGGGCTCGCTCCATGGATTGGACGCAGTTGGGGGGCAGCCCTGGACGAAGTGAAGGGAGGGAGAGGCGCTGGCTGACGTGGGCATGTGGCTGGAAAGACGCAGGGCGCCGGCCCAGCCAAGGGAACATCCCCCATGTGCCCGGCAAGGTCTCAAGACTCGCATTCGGGCCAGTATCAGGCCTTCACCCCCTCCCCCCTCCCCTGCTCCGCCCCTTACATCGTGTATCCTCCAGCTCCCAGACACTGAGACTGGGCTCAGGCCTCTCCTCCAAGGCGGCATCCCGCACCAGGGACACCTTGGGGCAGGTGCGCTGCATCCACACCAGGATAGCGGCCGGCATGGCGGCCCAGTGCAGGGCTCGCAGGCTCATCAGGCGGCCCGGCCGCATCGTGGCCGCTCCTTCCAGACCCTCCCAGCTGTCGCTGGCGGGCTCTGACCCCGCCTCCAGCACCGGCATCACAGCCTTCAGGGCGCGCAGCCCCGCCTCCGACACCTCGCCGCTCCCTGGGGAGGCCGTGGGGTCGGCGGTGGCAGCATGGCGTTGGCTCTTCAGGTACAGCAGCGGGTGGATGCTTGGTTGCAGGGGTAAAAGCAGGCAACTTTGCACGTACTCGAAGGCCACCAGGCCGCAACCCAACACCCCACAGCCCTCACACCGCACTGTCGCAAGTCCTCACAGCCACAGCCTGCCTCACCCAGGCGCAGCTCCTCCAGCAAAGGGCAGGAGGCCCCCAGTGTCTTGAGCACGCTGGCAGCCAGGTGGCAGCCGCCCAGGTCGAGGGCCTGCAGGCGCGCTGCCTTCTGCAGGGCAGCACAGAGGGAGGCCGGGTCCAGCGAGGAGCAGCCGCGCAGCGTCAGGCGCACATGGCCCTCGTCGACGAGCTGTGCCAGGACGCTGCGGCGATGCGAGGCGGTGGGAGTTGATGCGGTTCGAGCTGCGATGCGGCCTGATGTGCGTCGCCGAGCAAGGAGAGGGGCCCACGCATTCACTGGTCCAGGACAATGGGGCTTGGTGTACAAGATACGATAGGCAGGGATGTATATGCTGCATCCCCGACGCGCCCACCTTTCGCTCAGCAGCCCAGCCTGGCGAGCTGCGATGATGAGCGCGGCCTTGGTTGGGGGGGGAAGAAGGGGCAGCACCTCTGCACCCAGCCCCAGCACCTCCTTGAGATGGGTTGTGAGGAAGCCTGTGAAAACAGGCAATTGCGTCGGCTGGGTGTGTTCACGAGGTCCTGGACACGTTTTGGGCAGCCCAGCTGGTTCATGCCTTCCCTCTGGTGGTCCAGGCCGTACCTGTACAAATGCTCAGCAGGCTGGAGCTCCCACACGCGACAGAGGCACCGCGCTCTGAACTTGGCTCCAAAGATGTTGGGAGTATCTCTGCCAAGTTCAAGCATGGCGTGCCCTCATTCTCAGCTGCGGCATAGGGTCCGGCGAGCGCTTTCGTCTCGGAAGGCAGAGAAATGCATACCATGCGGGATAACACACAGAGGGGAAAGAGGTTTTTGTTCTTAGCTACATGGAGCAATTTTGGTGAGGGGCTACCATTACGGATATAATGCATCCGTCGACAGCGCGATGGACTATCTTGTTGCCCATCGGGGTTTGGGAGTCCACCTGACGCTCAGGCCCAGAAACAACCCCCCTGGGAATCATGCACTGGGTGACACATCCTGCTCTAAGAGGTCCAGACTTCCACCAGGGGACGGACGTGGGCCTGGCCTACGTATGTTCGGCATCACTTCAGAAGTCAGAATCAAGTGGGAATGGAGCAGAGGCAGCTGGAGCTTGCGAGGATGTGTGCATGTGCGTGATAACCTCCAACGCCCCTGCCATGAAGGTCTTGATCACCAAAAGCAAACTCTTTGCAGCCTTCATCCTGTGTCGATCAGCACTGACCAAGCATACTATGTGATGGCACAAAATAGTGCCAGAAGCTTCTCTTCCTTGCACACTCCAACACCTGCCTCTAGAGGTACATTATGGCTTGTAGAATGACAACTTACACACAGCAGATTGGATAAACACTGTACATCGATATACAACCAGCTGATACGCCGATGGGAATCCAGCTAGGATTAGCCAGCTCGATGGCAACTCGTCGTGGACCCCTCAAGACGCTGGGATTCCGAGGAATATTGAGCGCCGCGGATAGAGCTTCACCTCCTGCTGCTTTAGACTTGATACCGGGGGGTAGTATCATAGTACCCTGAACGCCTGAACGCCGAATGCCGATGTTGAATCATCTTCCCGCGCATATCGAAGTTTGTAGAACTCACCCGCGAGGTTGCTCCCTTGTTGAAACCAATTAGATCGGATTAGGGCATCCCTATCGCTGCAAAGATTTTACTTCGGACTTGGGGCTTTGTTTAAAATCCATACTTTCACGATGCCGGCGAAGAGCAGGTATGGTGGTGTTGAGGGTTGTCCACCCTCCTTGCGCTGAGCAACGTCTACTTTTACTTAGCGCCGAAAAGTCATCACTTAATGTCACGACAGGTACACGCTGATTGTTGAAAACCTGGATAGCTACACTCGCTCCCGGGACATCAAGGAGGTGCGACTTCCGAGTGGCTTCAGGACATGCATGCTCGATGTCTTCCAGCGCAGGTCCGACAACGAGTACATTCTGCACGCTCCATGTACTCCAGGAATGCCGATACTTTGGAGACGTTAGGGCGGTCGAGCGGGATGTTAGGAGTCGGTGTGCCCTCGTGGAGTTCGACAGGTGGGCACAGGTGGGGTTGTCACCTGCATGCCACATGGTCCATGCCTTTTCTCTCTGGCCGTGCGACATGTACAGCACCCATCCCTCCTCAGACGGGCAACGCACGAGTAGGCTCTGCACCGTTCCAAGGACAGAGGTGCAGCACGTCTTCCAGCCCCAGCGGCCATGGTCAGCTTTTTGGGGAGGAATCCAGTGAGTAAGGGCTGCTTGGCGCAAGTGTTTCAACCCCGTCCCTGGACCCTCCACACAGGTCCTCGGCAGCAGAAAGGGCGTATGACAAGCTGCATGGCATCTCCATGCATGGAAAGAAGTGGAGTGTGGATTGGGCGACCCCCAAGGACTTTGATTTCTTTGGTGAGGAAAGGGGGTGGGTGGACACGGATCAGGATTCCATTGTGCTCTCTGAAAGCAGCTCCTTTGCTTGTACCTGTGCAGTCACGTGCAATCGATTTGAATTAGAACTCAATGACGATTATGATTTTGCTGCGTGTGTAGGATGGAAGTGGACCGAGGGAGGCGTTGATGAGTCTCCCCTGCGGTAAGCTTCGGAGTGATTTTCTCGCCTGAGTTCCCCCCACCATTCAGGCCTGCGTTACCGTTGATTTCACCAACGAAACGAAGCAAGCCGATGTTTGCATTTAACCCTGTTTCTATAGGTCGGATGTCTCAGATCGCTCGTACTGAAACTGGTCCTCACTGGAGAGGCCATAAGCCTCAACCATACCACTCCCTGGGTATGGTGCTCCCTCCCTATAGGCAAAGTATATACTACCCTTGTACTCGGATGCGATCATTCTCGATGTACATAGATCACAAATGGGGACGCGGTAAGCAGCAGCAGGCAAAGCCCACGGGGTGGCAAAGCAACTCCGTGCTTTCCTGGTGGATCTGTTCGAACCACTATTCGCAACCCCACGATCGCCCAATGGTGGATGCCCCGCTGCTGCGCGCTCGATCACCAAATCTCGAGTGCATCGGTGGGGCAATGATTATTGCGCGATGCAGGACGTTCAGGTGGAAGGTGGCTTTCTCGGAAGAAGTCTCGGCGGTCCCCTCACCGAGAGCCGCTCGATAAATGTTATCCCACCCCCGGCATCGGAAAAGCTACATCGCCTCAAATCTATATCGCTCGGTCGCGAGAGGGCCTCGCCCAATTCTGGCGACCGGGATGAGTCTCCTACTGCAGGTTCCGGGCCTGCTGCATTCGTACTTCCCAACGACCTGCAGGTCCTCTCCGCCGAGCTCGCGCATCCAGCCTCCACGGACATCCTCGCCGTCATAGGCATCCTCCAAAAGAGCGGCCCGGCAGACGCACGGACATCCCGGTCCGCGCTCCTGCGAGCGGGGGCCTGCTACCTGGCACACGATGCCGAGAGCGCCGTCAGCGCACACGCCGGCCAGGCACGCAAACTGGCCCGCGCACGCCTGCACCTGGCATTCCACGAGGTGCGCCAAAGGAAGGTTGTGCTTTGTAGTTTCCTGAGATAATCTGGGTCAGGGAGGCACAGGGTCGCAGCATGCAAATGAGTCTCGAGGCCAGCAGGATAGCCATCTTGCGGGTGAGTCACCCTCCTCCCCCCGCCCTTCCAAACAAATCCCTGCGCAGGCAAACGCGCGGGACGAGCCGCATGCGCTGCGCAACCCCCGGCCCCCGCCCCGCGCCTGGCTCACCGGGCCAGCGCCCATCGACGCCAGCAAGCACCGAGCCTCCCTGGCGGTGCGGGCCCTGGTGGCCTCCACGCACGACAAGTGTATGCCCCTGCCCAAGGTAAGGGACGCGTGGGGAGTTGCTGCATGCTGCCCGCGCAGTCTCTTCACTCAGGCAGCTCATCGAGAATCACCCACCCACCCACCCGCTCCCCCCGCCACTCCGCAGGCTGTCAGGCCTCCCCCCGACCTCTCTCGGGCCCAGGCAGAGACCCTGCGTCCCCTCCTCGCCCGCCTGAGGCTCCAGCTGGCGCTGCAGGCCTGGCGGCAGGCGCTGCGCCGGTTCCGGCTCCAGGCCGCGGTCGCGGCGCGCTGTGCGCACGGCGCTGACGCCGGGCGCGTGCGCACAGCGCTGCTCGGCTGGCGCGAGATGGCGCTGCCCTCGGCCGAGGCGCTGGCGGTGGCGGCGCGTGTGGAGGCGCAGAGGAAGGAGGCGGCGCGTCGTGCCTCCCTGCGAGCATGGGCGGAGGCTGCGCACCTGTCCAGGTGGGTTCTCAGAGGGGGCCCATGACAGAAATGCGGCCTAGAACATCTATGAGCTGCAGTGGCTGCAGGGACGGAATGTGCTGAGCTGATCCATGCGCGCAGGGGCGCAAGCACAGATGCCCTGTTGCCTTGCGCCCACAAGCCTGGTCGCCCTGGGTGTTGTTGGTGAATGCTGAGCGGTGCCCTTCCTGCGTGACCAGTGCTTCCCTTCAGACCACGAGGCTGACTGCAAGCCATTCCTGCTCCCCTGCGCAGGCGCTGGGCATCATGCTCAGTCCAGATCTCGGCATCGGTGGGGTCGCACCGCCTGCGATCCGCCTGGGCGCACTGGCGCGCCTTTGCGCTGAGTCGGCGGGTTCTGCGACTCCAGGCGCTGCTGGCAGCGACTTGGCACAGGCGGCGCGGTGCGGTCGCAGCGCTCGAGGCCTGGCGCCAGGTCGCGTCCCGGCGCGCCGCCGCGCGGAAGGCCCTCTTATGTGGGGAAAGCGGACGCGGGGTGAAAGCTGCAGCAGGCGTTGCAGCAGTGGGCCCCGGCGCCGCTGAGCCGGAGCAGCGCGAAGATTCCAGGGCTGGCTCCAGGCACGGCGTGCTGCGGCCGCTGGCGCGCCTGGTGCGGGAGGCCCGGGCCGCAGAGGCCGCGCTGTGGGCCTCCGACCTGGCGACCCGCCTGCGCTATTATGCTGGCGGCGAGGAGTGGGCAGGAGGTGCGTCGTCGCCGGGGAGTGCCCTCCCCGATGAGAACCTGCGTGATGCTTATGAGGATCGGGTGACGTGCCAGTCGTCGGAGTACGGGCTCCTCAAGGCTTCCACATCGGGCTCTGGCATGTACGCCTCACCACATGGGCCTCTGCTCGGCGCCGGCGCCGCGCAGCCCGCCGAGGATGTAGGCTCCTCGGCCCTGCCGTCGCTCGCAGGGTGCGCGGTGCGGTACCGGCAGCGACGGCTGCTGGCCGAGGTACTGCGTGCGCTGCGGTGCCACGCCGACGAGGCGAGGCGGCTGAACGACGCGGCACGGCACCACGCCCGCACGACCCTCTCGCGGCGCGCGCTGCGCCTCTGGCGCGAGGAGCACGCTCGCTGCGCATCCCTGGCCGCGAGCGGGCGGCAGCGGCGCGCGGCGCGGACCCTGCGCACCGTCCTTTTGGGTTGGCGAGCGGAGGCGGGCAGGGCGCCGTCCCTGCGCAACACGGCGGCTGCTGTCGAGGCCGCCAGCGTCAGGTGTTCTTGTGATTGAACCGGGGGGGGGGTGCTGGGCTGGGCTCCTTCATAAAACCCAGGCCGATCTTGCCGCACCAGCTGCTCCTCACCACGCCCTCGTCAACTCTCAGATGGCGCAAGGCCCACCTCCTGCGGCGCTGGAGGGCGCAGGCTGAGCTAGCGCTACGCGCGCGGGCGCTGGAGCGCTCCACGCTGACGAGGCGTATGAGGCGAGCCTTCCGGGCCTGGCGCACCGAGGCGTCCGTGCGTTTGACCCTGGCCACGCTGCGCGACGAGCTGGAGTGTAGGACTCGTGGCAGGCTCCTGCGCGCCTGCATGGCGCGCTGGCGCGCCGCGGCGGCCCGCGCCGGGCTCCTGCGTCGTGTTTTCGGCGCCGCGCTGGCGGCCAGGAGCCGTCCTGAGGGCGCCGAGAGAATCGCGCTGGATTACAACACCCTGGCTTCCTGCTTCCTGGCATGGCAGGCGGGGCTGGCGAGGGCGCGGGCGCGGCGCATGGAGGTGGCCGCACGCTATGCGGCAGATGCCTTCAGGTGGGAGGGCCGAGGAGGGGCCAGGGAAAGGGAGTGGCCGAGGGAGGGCAGGGCAGATGGTCTGAGTGAGGCAAACTTTGGCGTTGGCATGCAATTCTGCCTGCAGCGCCACCAAGCACCTCATCTTCACCCTTTGATGGTCCGGCTGGATGCAGGCGCCGGAGTCTGCTCGCTGCGACGCTGCTGCACTGGAGGAGGCTAATTTACGGATGAGGCTCCAACCTCGCATGGCACCAGCAGAGGCGGGACAGTACCTCGGCGTTTGCAACTCTTTGGCTTCCAGACCGTGACACTCTCCTGTGCACTCTCTTTTCAGTAACAGGGAGGACTGCCCCTTCTTGACGCTCGATACCAGCACTCCCCTGCGTGACCGACCACTGACATTCCAACTCCACAACAACCTACGCCCGGACTATCCTGTCCTTGATGTACAATCCCCCCGTTGCCACATCAAGTCCTGCATTCTACAGGCAAATGGGATTGGGTACAGCAAAAGGGAACAGCTCCCACGGGGAAGGCATGCCAGTTGCATGAGTGCACTCTCGAGGCAACCAGCCGGTGAAATGCCGAGGCAACCATGATCCCGAGGAGGCTTCTCACGGGACATCAGCTAATGCCGCTGCACGTTCTGCTCATTGTTTTTCTAGGAGATGGGTGCAGTCCCAGCCATCATTGCTTGTCCTTGGCCCAGGTGGCCTTGTCATGCGGGCCAGAGTTGGCCTTGTAGATGCCCACGCCCTTGATGGCCTCCAGGTACTTTTGTGCGACCTGGTACGATTGTGCAAGGGATGAGTGCGTCGGTTATACAGGCCCCGGTATACCTGTCTCCCTCGGTGCTGGAGCGCGACCACGTTCCTCACCTCCTTGCACTGGGTGAGGTGGTCGATGCCCTCTGTCCGGTAGCACTCCTTGAGCTTGCGACGCAGGACCTGGGGCATGGCAGGGGATCCAACATTCGATATTTAAATATACTGAGAAGTTCTAGCGTCTCTTGCACCCAGGGAAGCATCAATACAAGCCCCGGCAAGGGGTATGGACCCCATCCCTCACCTTGGCCTCCGAGACCTTGATGTAGGCCTCCGTCACAGCGGCCTCGCGGTGCCTGTAATACAGCACAGGGTCTGCATACTTGTTCTCTGGGTCATACTCGGGAGGGTCCTGCACCGGGTTCACCCCAGTCCACGGCATCGCGAACGGGGTGCACTCCGCCTCTGTAGATAAGGTGAGCTGCCTGGCCCTGAATGCCCAGGACCGTTGCAGGGTCTAAAGGGACTAGGAGGCCGGGAGGGATGTTCAAAGCTACGACGAAGTGCTCCTCCACGTATGATTCATTTTCGTGGCATGTGCCGCACCCCTTGCGCAAGGAAAGCTCGGCGAAACTCTTTCAGCAGCGACACTGATCTGCGTCCAAGCGCAAGCTCCCGACCTACAGTCAGGTTTACTTGGTGCTCAAACTGACTAAAATCGTATGAACTGATCCCAAGGTGGCTATGACCGGGCATGGATGCCGGTGAAATCACCTGGACTCCACAGCAGTGGAGCAGGCTGGAACGGAACTGGAGGAGGGTAGCATCTACACACAACATCAAGGTGAGATGGGGCAGTGATGTACTCCGGACGCATTAAATTACGAGCTGTTTTCCTCAGAGCTGTGGCATTGCTGCTGGTAACTTCTCCAATCTCATGCAATGCCCCGTCAGGACCTCCTCACCGAACCTCCCTGCGATGATAAGTTCAACCGCTCGGAGTTCTTTCTCGGGTGAGAAGATGTGGTCATGACCCACAGAGACATGACAAGACCTGAGCCTAGTGCTTGTATAAGCAATCATTGCTCATGGTCACACAAAGGCACACCAATCGGTGCAGGATTTTGCTCATTGCCGCTGGCCTCTCCCTTTTAGTGGGAGTTCTTCTCAAGACAATGGTGATAATCTATAATCGTTTGAGGGAGCCGAAGTGCATGCTAGTCTTCCCGCCACACAGTACTGCTTGTCAGTGTGACACTGTCGACTTGGGGAAGTAAGTTCTGATTCCTCAAAATTCCTACCCTTTGCAACCAGGTGGTCCCTTTCCTGGATTTGCCCTCTGGAGGCCTCCTGTATACTCTGAAACAGAGTGACTACTACCCTCAGCTCATCGCGGCCACACTGCCTGTCACCATCATGGCTGTCTTTGTCAACTGGACAAGTCTGAAGCTGTACAAGCACAATTCGTAAAACATGAGCATGAAGCAGGATATTGCATCTGCCCGACTTCAAATAAAGGCTGGAGATGTAATATCAACCTCCAACTCATAGTGTCTACTTCCTGTCTGCCTGCCTGCCAGGGCAAAAGCCACTGAGGCTCAGCTTCTCAGCCGTTTACCGCATGTGTCGCCAGTGCAGCTTATCGCTATGGGAGGCACATGTCCATCATTGATTATGTTACTCTAGATGTTGTAACAAATGCACATCCTTGCAATCTGCATGGTCCCCAGGGCATGTTTCATGCAGGGGCCCAGGCTGCAAGTCCACGATGCTCAAGAATGCGTCACTGCTCCAGACGTAAAACGTTGCAGCCAGGGTGTTTTGCACCCAATGGCTTTGATGGGATCAGAATGCCTAGATGGCTCTCAGCCCTTGATGAGTCATGAGCAGAGTTCGTACTGTTGTTAGTTTGATTCGTCGTACTTTCTGAGCATCCGAAATTGGCGACAAGGTGGATACAAGGATGACACGCTGCCTCGCAAGGATACTATTAATGCATGGCAACCAATCGCTACGTTTGTGTGAATTCTAAAAGTACTATATCAGTCTGGATTGGTAGCTGCTCGCTGAGATCTGATTCGTGTACGGCAAGAATTTGGCGTTGTGCCGGCACCCCCTCCCATCTCGCCTGGACTTATAATCTTCCGAGCAGACACTGGAAACAAATGAATACGACTTCGATATCCTGGATGGATCGATAGGGTTCGGATTGAACGGGAGTCGTGACTCGGGCTGTGAGTGTTAACCAAGGAGACCATGCTAGGGTGGAGTCCTCCCCGTCGAGGACGGCCAAGATTAGGTAAGCATGCATTCCACATTAGAACATTTAATGTCCAAATTTAGTCTTAGTAGACTACGCAGCAACCTTTGCACCCCATATTCCCTCTTTTTAGGCCCTAATGTGACTAAAAAGCGAAGATCAGGTGTGCCTGGCGGGTCAGCATGGATGGATTCAGGGACTGCCACCACAAGCTCTTTGTACACCGTGTGCCTCATTGCTGGATTCCATCGTGAATGCTCTTGTCGAATGACAGTGATCATCCTGCCTTCTCCAGGAACGTGAGTATTAGTAACACGCCCCTCCCCAGTCGTAGGACCATACAACAGAGGCCATCACCGACATGCCAGCATGGAACGACTGTGAGTGGCGGAAGTGGACATGACGACTTGTGTTTGCCTGAGAACACTCTCTGAGAAGCCCATTTCCATCGTTACCAGGTCCAGAGACCGCAGCCTACTGACAGTGATCATCCCGCCTTCTCCAGGAACGTGAGTATTAGTAACACGCCCCTCCCCAGTCGCAGGACCATACAACAGAGGCCATCACCGACATGCCAGCATGGAACGACTGTGTGTGGCGGAAGTGGACATGACGACTTGTGTTTGCCGGAGAACACTCTCTGAGAAGCCCATTTCCATCGTTACCAGGTCCAGAGACCGCAGCCCACTGGCTGGCTGCTTGACACACGGCCAGCAGATGGAGCCGGTGAACGGTGCACTGGTGGAAAATCGTGATCCCAACCTGCCCAACTCTGCTGGTGAGCAATGCGCTTCAGCGGAGAACTGGCCAATTGGGCGGCCTATGGTGCAAAGGGATTCGTAGCTTTTCAGCGGTGTACTTTCCACTGGTTTCTAGTGAGCCCTGCCTCTGTCAGAGACACATATGCACGGCCACCCTGCTCACCATCCCCGCACTCCTGCCGGCCAGACTGGACCACGACCGTGACCTTGCCGGAGCGGCCCACCATCATCCGGGTGCCCCTGCGCCCTCCCTCCACCCCGGTGACGGTGCGGCACTGCGCAGAGGCTCGCTTTCCCGAGGAACCTCCCGGGAGCCCCGTGATATACGTTGGTGAGTGCCTTTGCCATTTTGATTCGGGATGTGCTGGGCTAGAGCATGGGGTGTGGGTACTGTTGTGGCGATGGGTGGGCTGCAAACCCTCCCTACAGCAATCACAGCTTTGTGGAGGGTCGGACCACCGATCGTACCCCGCTGCCCTCTCCCCACCGCCATGCCACAGCCTGGTGCGGACGCTACACACACGGCGGCTTCGAGCCTGGCACAGTGGCCGCGGCGCATGAGGCGGGAGCCACCCACACGCCCTGCCCGGACGCGGAACCTGCCGCGCAGCGGTGCCCCGCCAGCCCGCCCAGCCCCTCCCTGTCCGACCTGTGCTTGGAGCTCCTGGCCTCCCCGCCCAGCCCCCCTCCCGAGGGCATGCAAGGCTGCCTGCTGACGCTAGACCTGGAGGCTGGGGGTTGGGGGTCATGGCAACCCGGTGCCACCCTTGGCCCTGCCGACCTTGCGCTGGGGAGGCCTGGACAGCATCGCCAGGACACACCACTGTCCCCCTTTTCGTCCAGCTTGCGCGGCCTTCCCACCCTCTGTCCTGGTGAGATGGGTGGATCCTTGTGCTTTTGGGTGCCTGGGGCGGATGAGACTCGAGCCCCTCAGGGGGGGTGGGGACATTCAACCTCGTCTGTCTCGCTGCTGAGCAGCGCAGGACAACAGCACACAGGGGGTCAGATACATTGGCGCTGGGGAGGGGCCATGTGTGCACCAAAAGGTGGTTGTTGCGTGAGACGCCGACCGTACAGGGCAGGGGCTGAGCGGCAAGTCACCAGGTCAATAATACATTTGCTCCCAATGCAGACATGCCCGAACTTGGACTGTGATGGAGCGCGTGAAGATCAACCTACCAGGCAGCACCCCACTTGGCCAGCGTGCAAGGTCTTTCTCGCCCGATAGCACACAAACGAACGACTGGAGCACTGCTGGGTATGGCAGCGCCATCAAACCCTGATAATACAATTTCTTCTCCTTGCACGGACCCGCCCTTGTGCTCCTCGCTGTGCAATCGATACTCAGTCGTGCCCTTACAACATCGTGAGATCCATGGCAAACACACACACTGCCCCAAAATGCATGCAATTCACAATGTGCAAAATCCCTTGTACCGAAACAACACCCATCCCTCTAGGCCCAAAACTTGGGCTTGCGCTTGGGCTGGAGGTCGGCGACGTCCAGATCGCTGATTTTGGCCTGCAAACACAAGGGTTGAGATCTGAGCGTCCTGAACTTCAGTTTGACTGTAGTTCAGCCATGATGTCTCTAAAACATGCTCTCTCGTTAGGATGCATTTGCCCTTTCCTTCTCTAAAAATGCCCATCATGCCCTCTGCCCACTCTATGCGCAGCATTCAACAGCTTGCAACCACCACCGCCTGCCCAGACGATTCAAAGCCCAGGATGCAGGGTCCACTCACCGCCATGATGAAGTCGTTCTCTGTCAAGCCGTTGGCAGAGTGGGTCGTCAGCTCCGCCGTAACGCGGTTGTAGCCCACCAGGTGGAGGTCGGGGTGGTGGCCCTCGGCTTCTGCCACCGCGGCCACCCTGCTCAAGGGATGACAGGCAGAGAGATACGACGTAGTGAGGGATTGTGCGGCCGGATGAGCTGCACCATCACCAGAGGAAGCACTGCAAACTCTTACGTCTAGCACAGCTGCCACAAAGTCTCTCAAAGGGTCGATAAGGATTCCCTGCTCCTGCTGCGGGACCACAACATCAGTGCCCCTCCACGCACCTCTTGAAGAGCTCCAGCCCAGCCATGAAGTTGCGCACTTTCCACTCCTGAGAGATGCACTTGATGCCCTTGTCGTTGGTTGTCAATCTCCAGCCGGGGCACTGCAAGACATGGATGGGTCTGGAGTGAGTGGCGCTCTTTCAGATCTGGGAACTTGAAAATGAAAAGAGACTGTGTCAAATCTCCCCTGGCCGGCACTTTGCCGGAAGCCATCAGCCGCACTCGCGGGCCTGCAGCGTCCCTACCATAGCCATCCCAGATCTGCCCAGTCATCACCTGATGCCTGAGCTTCTCGGCCTCGGAGTCGGTCAGGGGCTTGACATCCCCGCCCTCGCAGGCCAGGCACTTCCTGTTCTTCAGTCCAACCAGGGATGCCAGGCCATCCGGGGGCCTGTTGGAGAGACATGAGAGGGTATGTTTGGGTGAGTCACTGAGAACCTTCTGGAGACAATACTCAGGGGCATGGGATCGGAACTCCTGGTTGAAGCATCCCCACTGCAGCTTCTCAGACACCAAGCCCCACATGTGCAGCAGCCCCCGCCCTGTCCAGGTTCTGACAGGCGCCTCCTCACTGCCCACATCGCACTTTATGAGGTGCTCCGTGTTCTCGTTTCCGAAGCTCTTCTCGGTGAAGTTGGTGGCGATCTCACCAGGGAAGGGGTCTCTCGCACCAAAATCCTGCGCATTGGATGCATGCTGGGTGAGTGACAGATGGCATTGCTTGGCACGCCGTGCACCTCTACCCTGACTGTCATGCATAAGCAGGAAGATCACCGGTGTGCTCTTATATCTACAGAACAGACACCAACTCCACTCTGCCACTCACCCCATCAGCGTCTCTAGCTCTGAGCTTCTGGCTGGACATGGAGAACCTTCTGTAAATGAATGACACGCCCAGGCGTCCACAAGACTACGGGAATGGGAGGAAACATTCTAATTTGGAATCACATGCGAGTCCTTCTATTCAGTATAGCAATCAAGTCCATGCAATACACCAGGCCCCGGAGTAAGAAGAGCCGATGACATGCCAACCCATACTTCCCATCGCCCCAACCCACCAGGGACACCAGTGGCCGTGGAGCACAAGGCAGCCCTGCAGCACGCATGCATGGGGGGGAATGTAATACAGATATTACAGTTCCGGCACTCAGCAGCATGTCAGCCCTCCCCAGGCTCACCGCGCGTCGTGGCGCCAGAAGCGAGCATGTTCTTAGCCTGACCCCCGAGTCCAGTCACGCCCACCACAGCGACTGCCAGTCCTTTACCACGCACGACTCTTCCTGAGACCAATGATAGCATTATTAAGGGTATCCATATGCTCTTTCCCAACTTGTGCGGCAATCGGGGAGCGGGTGCCGCGGCATCGCTGAGTCTGATCATTGCTGGGAGCGGCACGGTACCGCCGCGGGACCCCCCACCCTATCCGCAAACTCTGCCCTCTCTGGTCGGCAATGCGTCCCTCCGATGCCTTGCAGGTGGCTCGGCATCTTTGACCGAGAAGGTTCAAGTGCTTTGAAACAAGTCCAGGATATATCTTTCCTTCTCGTCGGGCGTCGGTGCTAGTCGCGGGGAGCAGCATGAGGCCAGTCACGGCTTTCACCACGACTCGGCCCAACATCTGTCGCCTGACTCAGAGCAGGAGTGTGACGGTGACTAGACCCGTTTATGCTCAGGCGCCTCTGCGGGTGTCTGCCCTGCAGACGTCCTTCTTGAGTCCCAGCACCGCCCTCCGTGGCTTCAGCGCAACCTTCACCAGTGAGTCCCGGCGGGGCCATGCGGAGGAATGTGATGCTTGCAAGTGATGCAACACTGGGCAACTTTCGGAGTCGCAATGCACTTGGCCGCTGCGGAAGCCTGGAGGCCCTGTGAGCATGTCCCTCATCCCCACACCATGATGCAGACCTGGTCATCAACCCAGTGAAGCGGGCGCTGTCTGGCATGCGCTGGCCGCTCTTGGTCGAGGCCAACAACAAGAAGGGCCTCGGAAACACGCTGCATGGCAGCCGGAGGTAGGGTGTGGGGTGCAGCTGGCCGGATCATGTCGTCGGACTGCCGCTTGTGGGGAGATGGAGCGTCCACCAGGTGGCCCTGACACGCCACACCCTCCTGGCCATGCACAGGAAACGGGCGCGTGTGTCTGGATTCAGGACCCGCATGGCAACCACGGCGGGGCGCAAGGTGTTGGCCAAGCGGCGCCTGAAGGGGCGCAAGGTCCTCTGCCCCGGCGGGCGCCCCACCCGCAAGTGATGCAGCGATGCCGCCGTGCCCCGGCGAGCATTCGTTTGTTACAGCTTCCTCGATCTGGGTGTGAGCGTGAGGCGTGCATGTGCACAGTCCCGAGCACAGTGGCAACACGCAGTGGTGGGGCTTGTGTACTGTGGGCACCCACGAGGGACCAGCAGGGGAGCATCGCTGCCTGGCAAGCCATCGTTCATAGATGAGAAGGAGGTGGCATACCGGTGGAGCTCCATGGCCTCTCACTTGCAATCCATTCAGAAAAGGGCGGGGATCGGGGTGGGTGGGCGCGCGCCACCGCACCTGGGAGGCCGCCAGCCTGCGGCGCCAGGCGCTCCTCGATCCGCTGCCTGCCTCTCTCCCCCGGACCCGCCCCTCGTTCAAGCACAGCCTCAGAGCCGCGCCGGGGTGTGGCGCAGGCGGAGGGGCGGGTCGAAGGCGGCGGCCAGCACCTCCTCCATCCGCTGGCAGCCCAGGACCTGCATGTCCTCGCGCACCGAAGCCGGCAGGTCATCCCGCACGTCCCGCAGGTTGCGCACGGGCACCAGCGCGCGGCGCACGCCCGCGGCATGCGCGGCCAGCAGCTTCTCCTTGACCCCGCCCACCGGCAGCACCAGGCCGCGCAGCGTCAGCTCCCCCGTCATCGCCACGTCGGCGCGCACGGTGCGCCCCGCGAATAGGCTGACGAGGGCCACGGCCAGCGTGACCCCGGCGCTGGGGCCGTCCTTGGGCACCGCGCCGGCGGGCAGGTGCACGTGGACGTCCCAGCACGCCACGGGCGAGGCAGGGGCGTCGCGGTGCGAGCCGGCACCGGCAGGCCCCGGGATGCCGCCGTCGCTGCTCCGGGCTCCAGCCTCCCCGCCGCCATCGCCGGCGCGGGGCGCCCGCCCCGCGCCGTCGCGGTCGTCCTCCAGGCCCAGGGCGCCGGCGTGGGCGCGGACCCAGGACAGCGCGATCCTGGCGCTCTCCCCCAGCACCTCCCCCAGCTGGCCCGTGAGGGTCAGCGTGCCGCTGCGCCCCGCCCGCCCGCGCCCCACTGCGATGCACTCGATGTACTGCACCGCGCCGCCCGCGGCGGTCCACACCAGCCCCGCCACCGCGCCCGGCCCGGTCACGCGCTCCGCGGCGTCGGCGCCGTCGAAGCGCCGTGAGCGCAGCGCGGCCTCGATCAGCGCGGGGGTGACCAGCAGGGGCCCGTCGCGCCGGGGGGCGCGGCGCATGGGACCCCGGCGCCACGGCGGCGGGGCCAGCGCCGCGGCGGGGTCGGCGGCGGGGGAGAGGCGCAGCCCGGCGATGGCGCGCAGGTCGCCGTCGACGGAGGGCGTGGGCGCCACGCTCGGCGGGCTGGGCGCCGACCTGCGCCGCGCCTGCGCCACGCCCCCGGGAGGCGCTGCCCGGGGCGAGGCCTCGGCGCCCCGCCCGGGCCCCACCAGGCGCGAGAACCAGCCGAGGCCGGGCGAGGCCCCCGCCCGGCTGGATGGAGGCGGTGCAGCGGCGGCTCGCTGCGGCGGCAGGGGGTGCGAGAGCAGGCCCAACATGCTCGCCAGGTCAGCCTCGCCGCAGGCGGCGGCGGCGGGGGAGTGCACGAGCTCGGCGCCGCATCCAGCCCCGGTGCATGCACGAGCGCCGGCGCGGCAGGGCTCCCTGCAACGCGAGGCGCCCGCTGCACGACTCCGACACCCGCCGCGTCCGGCCCGGGGGCCCCCGCCGCGCCCAGGCCGCCCAGCGCGTCGGGCGTCGCCGGGTCCGCGCCCTGCCCGCGCGCTTCCGGGGCCTCCGGGGTGGGCTCCGCCGCACCCTCGCCGGTGGCGACGAGGTCGACGGCCACGTGGCGGCAGACGGCGGCGATGGCGCGCGCCAGCGAGCGCACCCCCGCCTCGCGCGTGTACCCCTCCACCAGCAGGCGCAGGCTGTCGGCGGGGAAGGCCAGGTCGGCGTGGGTCATGCCGTGGTCGGCCAGCACGCGCGGGACCAGGTGCCGCTCCGCGATGGCCATCTGGCGATGGGAGGGAGGGAGGGAGGGAGGGAGGAGTGAGTGCCGGGAGGCAGCGGGGTGACTGGGGTGGTCCTGGACCGGCATTTGGGAGCGATCGGAGGCATGCAGGAGTCTGGCGGCACCCCTTTCCCAAACACCCCGCCCCGCCCCCTGGTCCTTCCACCCCCTCCAATGCCGCCTCGCCTTCTCCTCCAGGGTGTACCCCGGCAGGTGGATGACCTCCATGCGGTCCAGGAGCGGCTCGGGGATGTCGGCCGCGCGGTTGGCGGTGGCCAGGAAGAGGACGGCGGAGAGGTCGAAGGGCAGGCCCAGGTAGGTGTCCACGAACGCGGCGTTCTGCTCCGGGTCCAGCACCTCCAGCAGCGCGGCGGCGGGGTCGCCGCGCGAATCGCGCCCCATCTTGTCGACCTCGTCGAGCAGGAGCACGGCGTCGCGCGCGCCCGCGCGGCGCAGGCCCTGCAGCACGCGCCCGGGCATGGCGCCCACGTAGGTCCGGCGGTGGCCGCGCACCTCGGCCTCGTCGCGCACGCCGCCCAGCGAGATGCGGTGCAGCGGGCGGCGCAGGCAGGCCGCCACCGAGGCGGCCAGGCTGGTCTTGCCCACGCCGGGCGGGCCCACCAGGCACAGCACGGGGGCGCGCGCGTCCCAGCCGCGCAGCCGCTGCACCGCCACATACTGCACGATGCGCGCCTTGACGGAGTCCAGCCCGCTGTGCGCCGCGTCCAGCGCCGCACGCACCGACGCCAGCGTGGGGTCGGGCGGGAGGGCGTCGGGGGACGGCGGAGGGGGAGTGGGCGAGGGGCGGTGTGGGGATGGCGTGGGCGTGGCGCCGGGCTGGCGGGGGGGCGACGCGGGCGAGGGCGAGGTCTTCACCCCCCCGCCCGCCGCCTCGCCAGGCACCCGCGCTGCGCCGCCGGACCCACCGGCCCGCTTCTCGAGCTGCCAGGACCAACGGTCCCAGGGCAGGTCGGCCAGGGTCTCCAGGTAGGTCAGGCCCATGGCGTAGGCCGGGGAGTGGTCGGCGCCGCGGGCCAGGCGCTTGGCCTCGCGCCGCGCGGCCGCCAGCACGGCCGGCGGCGGCCGCGCGGCGGCCAGCCGTGCCAGCACCACCTGCACCTCGTCCTCCGGCTCGCCCTCCGCCGGGTCCTGGCCCTGCTCGACCGCCCCGCCCCGCGGCGCAGGCACCGGCACCAGCGCCGTGCCCGGCCGGGCGCCGGCGCCCTCCAGCACGGCCAGCAGGCGGTCCAGCATGGCACCCACGAGGCGCATGCGCGCCGCCAGGCCCAGCGTGCCCAGCAGCAAGAGGCGGTCGGCGCGCGTGCGCGCCGCCAGCGACCCCAGCACGTCCGCCATGCGCTCGCGCCCGCCGGCGCGCAGCATGCCGGCGATGCGCCGCGCCGCCTCGGCGCCGCGCGCCGGGCCCTGCAGCCGCACGCTCAGCCGCCGCGCCTGGGTCAGCAGGGAGCGGGCCAGGGCCTCCTCCTCCGCGCTGTCTTCGTTGGCGAGGGGCGCGCCGCCGAAGTGGTCCAGCTGCGCGACGCGGGCAAAGTAAGGGCCGTGCGCCGGGTCGGCGGTGGTCACGTCGCCGACCCGCACGCGGCTCTGCCCCTCCAGGCTCAGGGTCCAGACGCCAGACTGCGCAGAGGTGGAGGAGGACGTTGAGGTAGAGGGTAAGGCATGCTTGCTCCTCGGGTAGGTGTCTGCTTTACGGCAACCCAGGCACATGACACGTTGACCCAAGGGGAATAGCCTCCACCAATGGACCTCCAGCCGTCTGGTCCAGGCGTATTCTCCTAGATCCCATGAGCTCAATAACCAATAAAACTAGACGAGTACTCAGACAGACACTATTCCCCACCCTGGCCGGGGGCGGTTCCGAAACATAGACCCACTGGGGTTCCCATGGAGGAGAAACAACATGCCCGGAAAGCCCCCTCTCCCTCCCTTCCCTGCTTTCGAAATCGAATACCTTGGCGCTTTTGTGCAGCTGCACGACTTTCGCTGCGGTGCCGGTGTGGAACAGGCGGTCATGGTCCAGGGGCTGGTCCCCCTCGCTGTCCGCTGGGCCATGGTCCTCCCCGTTGTCGGGGGAGTAGGGCACAGCGGCCACCATCACGTCTCGGCCCTGTTCATGCACCAAGTGCTTGATGAGATGGCTGTTGCCTTGCACGGCCACAGTGAGCATGCCCCCGGGCAGGAGAACATGGGTGGAGAGAGGCAGCAGGGGAAGGGTGCGCTCCTGGCCCTCCTGGCCAGGTTTGCCTCGCTTCATTGCGAAGGCTCGCACTGGAGCACGCAGCAGAGCGGAATAAAATCGAGCTTCCAGGGGAAGCAGGATGTGCCCGTATGTCTTGACCGGTGTTGGAAATGGCCGTGTCAGCGTTTCGGAAAAACAGGGTTCTGGTCGGAAAACAGATCTGAGGGCGCGTACACATCCGCATGAAGAGCGTGTGATCAGGGTGACCCATCCCACACATGGGTTGGTTGTACACCGCAGCAATAGTTGCCTGTGAATAAACCAGCTTGAGAGTGCCCGTAGACACCACTGGAGGTCCCGTGGGGACGGCCCCATGTCGAGGCGGGAGCTTCAGTTCCTGGATGCACAGGATGAGGACGATGCCTCCTCCTCCCAGTCTGGATCTCCTTCAGCATCCGAGGATGAAACTGGGTACCCCAGCAGCGACGACGACAGCCCTGCGGTGTGCAGCGACCGACCGGGACCGAGTGCCGCCCCCCAGCCCGTCACACCCCCGCTCCAGGCCGGGAGAAAGATCTCCATTAAGCTGGGAGGAACCTCCAGCGAGCTCACATGCCACGTGCGTGGTGTGTGGTGTGAAGGGCGGCCTGCCCTGGGAAACGTGTAGTCAGTGTGGCTCACCCAGGGTGCCTCGCCCTGCACACACAGGTCTGTGGAAAGAAGGGCCATTGTGCTGGCTTCATCGGCGCCCGCTACTTCGACTGCCCCAACAAGCCCTGCTACCTGTGCGGGCAGAGCGGTCATAGCACCATGACCTGTCCCTTCCGGATAGATCCCGGTCACGGCTGCAGCGCCGCCCCTGGATCCAACCCCACAGACGGGGTTCAGTGGGAGGTGCTCCGGCGGGAGCAGGGCGCGGCGGGCGCCGCCGCCCCGGGCTTGCCGCCTCAGCGCAAGCGCTGGCAGGTGGAGAGCGCGGTGCTCCGCCTGCATGACCGCCGTGTGGTGTGCCTGGAATTCCATCCGCGCAACCAGAACATCGTCCTGTCGGGGTCCAAGGGCGGGCGCATCGCGGTCTGGGACATGGAGAAGGTGACGAGTGCGTGCTTGAGGGGTGGGCTGCCAAGGAAGAGAGCGATTGAAGACTGTGGTGCGCATCAGGCCTGCGTACTCCCAGTGGTTGTATGGCCAATCTTGTGTCAAGGTGCGTGCGCATGCCTGCCACTCCCTTCAGCTCAGGCAGCTTCGTCCTCCCCGCAGGTGTATGAGCGCACTGTCTACCGCTCCATCAACTTCTGGCTCACGAGTGCTCTGAAATTTGCGCCAGGCAGCGATGGATTGGCCTGTGCCACCTGTAGCTACGACAGCACCGTCAAGGTGCGTGCATGCATGGATGGTACTGGGGGGATCATCCTGTAGCTCCAAGCTGAGGTACTGGGTAGGATTTTGTATCGAAGTGAACAGGGCGAGCACAGTTGGCACACCCTTGCAAGATCGCCTGCAGTGCTGCATACGATATTCCCCTCGCTCCACGTGTCTGTGCATTACAGATCTTTGATGTTGAGACGGGAGCAGCAACCACACTGCACACTGCCACCCCACGGGAGTGGAGGGGTCCTGTAGAGGAGGATGGGAGCTGGATTACCCAGATGGCCATGGACGTCATGCAGGGTGAGCATCACATCTCGGGAGTGGGAGGTACAAGGGTTGGGAGTTGAGATAATCCTGTGGAGGTGCCGGGGTTCAATCGTTGATGGCATGGTGCCTGACCGGCCCCACCACCCCACCACATTCATGCCATGCGGTCTTTGCAGGTGGGATTGTAGTGGCCGGGGACAATAAGGGCATGCTCTACTTCTGCGACCCGCGGCACTCCTCGGCCTTTGCGACCATGCAGGCCCACAAGAAGGGCACCAAGGTGCAACTGGAGCGGGTGTGATATCGTTTGTTGCTTGCACGGACTATGAGGCTGTCTGACAGTGGCCCTTTGATGTTTGGAAAGTCCCTCCTGCACCCCACATGCGAATGCTCTTGGCCTGCATTCTCACCCCCCACATCCACATGCCCCTCGCTGTCCACTAGGTCCAGAGCGTGGCTGGGAACCCCGTGGACGCCAACCTCCTGCTCACGGCAGGGAACGACTATGCTGCTCGCCTGCTTGACCTGAGGGTGCTGGGAGGAAAGCAGGAAGCGGGGGCCGAGGTGCCCCGTGCTGAGCTGGCGTCGCTGCAGCACAGCAAGGTGATCAATGCCGCGTATTTCAGCCCCATCACGGGCCGCAAGATTCTCACCACCAGCCAGGACAACCGACTCAGAGTGTGGGACTATGTGTATACCTCGGATCAGGTACGAGAAAGGTGGACACTCGAGGGGGGCAGGGGTCTGGAACTCAAGAGGGAGGGGCTGGCCCGCGCACCTGGAGGTGGAGACCAAGTTTGCGGGCAAAGGTGTACTTTGTCATTGCGTGGCTCCTGCTATGTGCCATTCACAGTCTGCCTGGGCAGCCAAGGATGCACTCCTCTTGGGGATGGACATCGTCAGGCTGCATTCCTGCAGCATGTCAGGCTGCATCCTGCATCTCCCTTGCAGGAGCCGGACCGAATGATTGTGCACAGTAATAACTTCAACCGCTACTTGACGCCCTTCCGGGCAGAGTGGGACCCCAAGGATCTCACGGAAAGGCTCATCGTGTGCGGCAGGTCGGTTTGTCAGACAGGGGATGGGTTGTACGCCTTGAGGATCAAGTCTGGGACCAGACCTGGAGTGTGTGATCCGTAACAGGACAGTAGCGGTGCAGTGCTGCACAAAGCTGAGGGGCATGGGTGCACGTGGGCATGCACCCACCCAGACAGCATGCAAGCCCATCTCCCTGACACCAAAATCACTCGTCTTCACTCTGTTTCAGATACATATCGGAGGACTTTGGGGGCGTGGCTCTGCATCCAGTGGATCTCCTGGATGCGTCCACTGGTGAACTGGTATCTGAACTGGTCGACCCAAATCTCACCACCATCTCTCCAGTGAACAAGCTGCACCCCAACCAGGAATTGATCGTCAGTGGGAACAGCCGATCACTCTTTGTGTGGAGGCCCGCCCCAGGTGAGGGAACGGCGTGGAGGATGCTGCATCAAGCCGTGTCATGCATGGCAAGCATCATGCACAAATGAGAAGGGGTAGCGTCATCTGATCACTGTGTGCTCGCAATGGTGCATGGACTACAGCCGAGTACACATGCTCTTCAAGCACTCTGCATGTACCATCACCCATTCTACAGATGGTGAGCTCGTGCGAGATATTGGGCTGACAGCTTCCAACAGCATATCAGACCAGCTAAGCTTGGCAGCCGCTGCCGGGTACACCTTCTTTGACGCTGACGAGAGCGAGACACCCAAGAAGAAGGCCAAATTTGCGACAGGAGCTCCAAAAACAGATGACGCCGGCGAGAGCACTAAGAAGAAGCCTCCACGCAAGCGGAAAAAGGACGAGGAGGGGCCTTGAATTTAGGCTGAATGCAATCTCCTTTAAGAGTCAATTTGACATCATCTTCAGGCGCGATGTGACACATAGGGAATCTCTTGCTAGGCAGCCGAATGGCCCTTCTACCTTGTGAGGAGGTTTGTCGGGCCATGACAAATATGTAATTTAAAGAGGGCTTCACCTCAAACCCTTCCTTGTCATCGCTTAACTAGAGCATAAGCACTCTGGAAGAGACTCAAGATTGTCACATGGGAGAGCGTCAGGGTGAGAAAGTGCATAAAACGAACACACAGGGAGTTTCTTACCGACTTCGTTTCTTCTTCTTCTTCTTCTCACGCTTCTCTATTCTCTTTTTATACTTGGAAGACTTTCCCCTCGATCTGCGGTCTGTCTTCCTTGCTTTCCTGTTCTCACTGCTGGAAGGGCTGTCGCTTGGGATGCGGCTCCGCGTAGGCGACATGCCAAGGAACGAACCCCCAACGTCTTTGCCTTGCGAGCACTCCTCAGACTTCACGCCAGCAGGTGGAAAGAAAGGACCTCGAACCCTGCGATCCACCAGTGCGATGTCCTCATTCACCCTCTCCCTTGCGTCAGTAGCAGGGAGGGATGGGCCTGCCTCGTCCATCCTTGCACCCATGCCGCCCCTCCCTCTGCAATGTGGGGAAAGCCGGAGAAAGGAAGGACTGGAGGTCAGCTGCCATTATGAGATGGGCGGCCACCATCAACCACTCTGACCCACCGGTGCACCTCTTGCCCTAACATTGTCTCGTCTCAGTAAACTCGCCCAGGAATTGCCGATGCTGCTCACCTGACCCTATGGCTGGGCTGCGGAACGTCATCAACAGGCATTCTCCTGGGCACACCGGAGTCCCAAGCGCTCGTCTCCGTGACTGCTGCCAGCGCTGCGGCGGAACTGGGATGCGCCTGGCCCCCCTGCTGAGGATGTTCTGCTTTGCCTTCACTGCTCTGGCGATGGTGCATGTGCCTCGCCCACATCTCCTGCTCCTGAGCTCGTTTGTTGGCTGTTGGGGTGTTGTCAGATGGCAGGGCTTGAAGGTATCAGCATTGCCAGCAGATCACGATCCACGCTCTCGATCTTCACTGGTGCAAGCATGCACACCTTGGAATTGCGCCTGTATCCAACCCCCATATGTAAGGGAATACACGCACACACTCACCATGTTCCACACTCCGCAGAGTGGTGTGCAGGAATCTTGTATTAGGTTTCTCCCTCTGGACGGGTCTCTGAACATAGGCGCTCACCCCGGCATCTGCAGGACAAGGTGGGTAAATTTGCAAGGGTTTTTAGATGACGTTAATACGAACAGACTGTGCTGGAGATCATGAGGCGATTCTGCCCGGCACATGCACTCAGACCTTGAGCATTGCGTCGGAGTTGCTCGGCGTCCCGCAGGATGAGGGCAGCTAATTCAGAGGTTGTGTGGGCCATGATGGGTGCACTCTCTGTAAATCCTCATAAGACTGCCGAGCTGATGCTTGTGAGCATCGAGTAGTGGCCACCCGTCGCGGGTGGATTGCGGATCACTTCTGAAAGGCCCTTGGTGGCAATAATTTTCTCTAGATTGTCCAATGCCGATGCAAGCCTCTTTACTATCATTAAGTTGTATCCCGTTGGACGAGACCCGCAGATTCTAAGGACGCTGTTGCATGCAAGACACATACACGATCACCCCTTCGTGGCTTTCGAATTCCATGCAGGGCAGCGCGCTAAAGTTATGCGTCGGCAAATACAGATCCGCATCGACTCATCGACCCTCGAAGACCGTTCTACCAAGAAGATACCAGCGATATTTACCACCAGTACACATCTGCACGAGATCGTCTCATCCCCTTGCAGCAAAGGCGGAGAGGGATGGTGGATCCCAAACCCCGAAGGCGCATTGTGCCGATTCAGATCGCTGCATCGCCCACAATCGTATCGAATCAGGCAACTGTAGATGATGAAGCCCATGTAGAGGAGGTCTGTCCCGGAGGGGCAGACCTGCAGGCACAGGCAGAGTATGCTGCCGCCAATCTGGGCGCCGATCGTAAGCTGTACGTGGATCTCTCCGGCCTGGAGCCATCCAAGCCCATGGTGGACTGGAAGGAGGTGGGTGACTCGATTTATCAGAGGAAAATGTGTGAATGGGGGAAGCGGGGCCTGTGTGGTGTTGGCAACTCAATGCATCTCTTTGTCTCTCGGCACTGCTGCAATCCTGCTGTGCCTCCAAAATACAATGCTTCTGAACTCTCCGCCATCCCTACAGCTTCTCAAGGCTCGAGGGAGTTCCAACGGCCCAGACAAGCAGATCGCTGCACGGGACGAGCAAGAGGCGAAGAGTAGCCTGGCTGCATCCGACGAGGTGAGTCGTCATTGCTGATCTGGGGGTTCATGATGCTGCCATTGGAAGGAGGGCCAGGATAAAAGCTGACAATTTCGAGTGTAAAATCGGCTGCATGGATCTCTGAACCCTCTTGACATTAAGTGGGCCAGCAATCGATCGGTGTTCACTCCTTCATACAGATGTCCAACATTCGCCAGCTGACTGGGTTGGCAAGAGTGATAGCTCGCCTTGAGCAAAAGATTGGGGTGAGTCTGTGCAGAGGAAGAGGAGGCTTCACTCGTTCGTATGCCTCGGCTCCTGCCTGCATGTGGGAGCTGTGGCTGCGTCTGTGCTCCACAAATGCAACCCCCTTCTCCCTGCACAGATGGGGGGAGGCAGCAGCTCAGACAGCGATTCCGGCGAGCCCGATGGGGACGCGATGTCCGATGAGGTGTGTGTGGATGTTGGGCGCTCGCTGGGGATATGTGCAATGCTGAGACCCTGCGGGGCTCTTTCCACCTGCCATGTGTCCCATGGAAGCCAGTGGGCAACTATTCGGCGCTCCCCTCCCATGCCAGGACAATGCGGACGGCGACAATGGCACGGATGGAGGCGGCGCTACAGGAACAGACCTGGAGACCCGCCGCAGGCAGAAGAATGATGACTACGATCACATGGACGAGTTCATCGATGACTCAGGTTTGCTGGGAAGGTTGAATGGGGTACTGATGGCGGGCGTGTTACATATGCAGCGGGGTTGATTGCTGGCTCGAGGCATGCTTGATAACCTTGCAGGAATTTGGTCCATCGAGTCTGGTGTCTGCCAACACAGCAATGGTCATGAAGCCTGCGGGCAACCCTCAATCCTATACCCGCTTGCTCCATCCCTTGCCTGGCGCAGAGTTCATTGAGCTGATGGAGGACAGCGACAGGCGGCGGACCAAATTTCAGGGCTTCTTCATCACGAGGGTGAGGGGTCTGCGGTGGGCCACAACCAGTCCAAACCCCTGGGTTTTGTGTTGCATGGCGCCGACCAGGGACAACATACCTGTGAGCATCCGTCTCAAGGCGCGCTGGAGATGGACACAAGTTCCGGCGGCGCCAAGCCCCCCTCACCTTGTATTTGCTGCGCAGGGCGAGATTGAGCGCCTGGACAGCCCGCCTGCCGCGCCACAGGAGAAGGATAAGAAGAAGCGGAAGGCGACGGATGCCGTGGTTTCTGGTGCAGTTGCACCTGCTCCGCCGCCAAAGCCGGTCAAGGTGAGGCGAGGACAGACGGCGTGTGGAGCTAGGACCAGAGTCTCAAATCCCCGCCTCTTGTGAGGCATGCATGGCCCTTTGGAAGAATGAATTTAGGATTCACCTTCCACAACCCCTGACTTTCCACTCCAATACGTCAGGCAAGCAAGGGGACTGCAGCGGATGGCTCTGGCGGCGCAAAGTCTGCGGCAGTCAAGCCCGCGTCTGACGCAGGCCAAGCCTCGCCAAGGAAGAAGAAGCGGAAGAAGGTGGATGCGACGTCAGGTGTTGAAGGGCAGAATGCGAGCGTTTCTGCACCCGCCCCGCCCCAACAGCCAGCGCCCTTGAGCATCGCACAGTTGGCAGCCCGCGCCGGGGCTGGCGGGGCGGCTGGGCCCGACGCAGGGGCAGCTTCTCAAAGTGCGCAGGTGGGCGCCCGCGCCGCCTCGCCTGGCCGGGCGGCAGGCGCAGTCGCTGCTCCGGCAGCGCCGCAGACCGCGTCTGTGACCGTACCTGCGATTGTGCCGGCGGCCTTGCCCGCGGCTGCGGCGCAGCCTGGGCTACCGCCAGTGCATAACGCAGCCGGACAGCTTCCCGGCGAGGAACGCCTGAAGGCCGAGCTGGCGGAGTTGGGGCAGTATCTGGCAACTGCCTTGGCCCCCGCCCCACCCCCCGCCGCGACCCCCGAGGAGCAGAAGGAAGCGGAGGCGGCTGCCTGGAAGCTGCTGCCCACGGCCCTGCGCCAGCGCGTGTACGCGAGCCTGCGCCTGGTCCTGCGCGACACCGACCTCAACAGCGCGATGGGCAAGGCGTGGCTGGCCCAGGTGCACGCCGCCTTCCCGTCTGGCCGTCTCACACTGGCGGGCGTGCGCCGGATCTACGCGCAGCAGCGCAAGCGCGAGACAAACCGCGCCGCCGCCAGGGACAAGGCGGCGGCCGCCGGCGCGGCCGCCGGCGCGGGCCCCACGTCGCCCCTGCTCGCGTCGCTGAGCCAGCGCCGGGGACAGGAGGCGGGCACGGCTACCCCGCAGCGGCCCGCTTCGGGGCCCGGCGCGGCGCCCGAGGTCGGGGCGGTGTCAGGCGGGGGCTTGACGCCGCAGCGCTCCCCCAGCGCAGAAGCCCAGGCCTGGGTGGAGAGGGCGCTGGCACGAGGGCAGGCGCGTGTGTCGCCACCACCGCCGCCCGGGCGGCAGGGCGCAGGGAAGCTGGCGAGCGCGCTGCCAGGCGGATCGGGGGCCGCGGTGCCCTGTGTGCTCGCTGCCGCCGCGCCCGCGCTCCCGGCGGCGGTGGTCGCGCAGGCAGGACAGGCAATGGAGCGCATTGTTGGGCCTGGGCCTGGGCTGGCGAATGATCAAACGCCAGGAGTGGCTGAAAACATGGCCCCGCCGCCTGCGCAGCAGCGAGAGATCGCCGACGGCGGCCTCATCCCCACAGGCATGCCGGGGTCGGAAGGGCCTGGGGCTCCCATTCCTGAAAGCGTTCTGGAGGAGGCAGGCCTGGCACCGGTCATGGGCGACGAGGAGATCCTGGTGAGGAGGGCTGGCTGGTGCTTGAGCGGGGCCAGGGCCCGCAGAGTCGGGCCCTGCTGGGCCCCTCATGCGCTGGCCCTGCTGCAAGGGGCCACGAGTGCAGCTCACGCCCGAGCACTCCACCGTCGAAACCGCAACTCCCCCGGTCCACCAAAACGCAGTCGGCGGCCGCCACCCAGGGCAGCTGCGACGCCGCGGCGCTGTCGTTCGCGCTTTCCTCCACGCGCGGCTCCCTGTACGGGCGGGCGCTGACCCGGGTGCTGGCCCTGGCCGGGCCGCGCGGCGCCTCCACGGCCGAGGCGGCGGGCGGGGGGTGGAGCTGCGCCTGCTCTCCCCCTCGCGCATGGCGCCGGAGCAGCGCAGCGCCACCGTGGCCGGGCTGGGAAGGGCCAGCGCCAAGGAGCACGTCGCGCATGTCGGCGGCTATCGCTACGCGCTCAAGGCCTTTGCCGGCGTGGTGGACCAGCCCAAGCCCCAGAAGGCCGGCGGGGCAGGGGCGGCGTCCAAGGGCCCGGCCCCGGGGCCTGCATGAGGAGGCCGGTGCTTTGGCCGGGGGGGGACTGAGGTGGGACCCTGCGGTCTCTAGGAGTGCCCTGGTCTGTGCGTATTCGTGTTGCGCGGCGATGCGAGTCCATTCCTGCTGTGTGATGTGAAGAATATTTGCACCCATTTGCCTGTCCGCAATCCTGGCTGGAGGCCGAGGCGGACACAATCCTCCGAGTTTGTACAGGAGAGGTCCAACAACGGACCCCGAGGTGAACGTAGCTCACAGAGCGCAGCGCCCAGGAACAGAATTACACCATGTCGGTCTCTCCAATAGGGTTACTCAGTACCAGGAGCTGCTCCGGTCCTGCTCCCCCGCCGCCACCTCGGGGTCCTCCTCCTCCTGCTTTCCGCCCAGCGCCACCACCTCATCCGCAAAGGCCTGCAGGGCGCGGTTGGTCCTGCCGCCGAGGAGCACGCTGCCGTCCTCGGTCGCCACGCCCCAGAGCTGGGAGTGGGACAGGTAGGACACCACCACCGTAATGCACAGGCCTGGAACAGCGGTGGGGTGAGGTGGAGATTCGGTCAAGGGGCTGGACTGACGGGGCCGGGGGGGGGATCACGAGATTGAGTGGATGGCTCAGCATGAATCTAGAATTGGTGCGGAGGATTCTGTGGTGAGGGCAGTCAGCCACTGCACGGCTTCATCTTCCTCGGGTCATTGCACCCACATGGCCCCGGGCAGGACCGAAGAACCTGACCCACAACAAGAGCTTTGTTATCGTCGCGAACCCTTACTCACCGAGGAAGCCAGCGTACACCAAGGGGACCCCGGGGTCAATCTTCAGCTGCATGCCGCTGGAGGGCGTGATGGCGCCGATGCGGAGCTCCACTCCCTCCACCGTGATGGGGAGGTTTGACCCCGGGCGCCTCACCCCCACAAAGGCCCCCTTGCCGTCGTACAGCACCACCGTCTGGAGATCCCGCGCCAGCAGGGAGATGCCGCGCGGGTTTGATCCCGGCGCGCCGTCCTCCGCGGGCAGGCCCAGCGTGGACAGGGGCAGGAAGGTGCCGAACAGCTTGCTTTCGGGGCTCTCCCCCGCCAGCTGGGCCATGGGAAGAGACAGTTGGACCGGCTGCCGCGGGGTATTGGGTACTGGCTTTCCCTGGCCCTCCGAGACACCGGCTTCATCAGGTGGCGTTCGAGAAAGAGCGGTGCCCGTCTGTGGTCCCAAGGCAGCGTCGCTCAGGGGCAGGGCCGACACCCTCACGGCCGCCAGGGCCCAGTCTGTCTGGTAGGCCGTCAGTCCCTTGTACCGAAGCGGCTGGTTCACGCTCACGGTCTGGCGAGCCACCGGCACTCCTTCCTCGAGGACTGAAGAGCAAGGGGTGCAAATAAGGTTGAGATCTCCATGCGCAAGGAGATGGACCAGGGAGGACTTGTAAACAGGCATGGCTAAACATGTAGAGTTGGACACCGCACATAAATCAGGAAGCGGTTGCTTTGCACAGAGTAGAACCCCCCACAGGTCCCCAGGCCCAGCCTCACCTGTGATGCTGGTGACGAACTGGCGAATACTGCCGTCGTCCCGGTAGTCTATCTGGAAGGCGTCAAACTTGAGGTCCGCAGCGTGCGCCGCCGCCTCCCAGGCAAAGGGCGAGGCGGGGTGCAGAAGTTCGCGCACCGGCGAGGCGGCGCCCTCCGGCATCATCACGACCCCCCTCCCACCGCCCCCACCGCGCCGAGGCTGACCCCGGCCAGCACCGCCAGCATGGAGGCATGCACCCCGATGGGCCCAAGCTTCCCCGCCAGCCCTTTGAAGGCGTACAGCGCTACGGGGCTCGCTGCTGGGGGGCCCTGATGCCGTCGGAGCGCCGCCCGCCGCGCCCGCCTGCCGCGCCCCCTCGACGAAGACCTGGTACCCCCGGTCCCGCAACAGCTGACCCACGCTGCGCACGCTGTGCCCCTCCATCTCGGTCACGGCGGGCAGCGCGCGCAGGGCCTCGACGCCGGGCTTGAAGCGCCAGCGCTGCGCGACGCGGGCCTGCGGCCACTGCGTGGTGGTGGTGCAGGCCGTCAGCGAGGCGCCCAGCAGGCCCAGCAGGCCAAGAAAGTAGGGCGCACTATAGATGTGGTCCAGCTGGAGGGGGAGGATGATGGGCCAGGGTAGCCAGACCTGGCCCAGTGGGTAGTGCTCCACGTAGTAGGCGGGGGACTGGCCCTGGTCCACCAGCGTGCCGCAGGCCGACAGCCCCGCGATCACCGCCAGCTCGGCGATGGCCAGGCGCAGGTTGGAGAGCGCACGCAGCGCCACGCGCCAGACGTAGCGCGGTGTGGGGGTGGAGGGCCGCGCGGCGGCGGGGAGCTGCACGCGACGCTGGGCGGAGGGCTCGGACAGGTCCAGCACCCCCGAACCGGGAGCAGGCTCCTCGGTGCCGGAGTTCAACGCCTTGGGTGGAGGTGGCCCTGAGACTGATGGGGAGAAGGGGGGTGGGGAGGAGTTGCAGAGACCCGGGGCGCATGGCTTGTGAGGCTAGAAGGGGACTGCAGACAAATGACAGGGCAGTGGGCATCCCCATGCACAGCTTCAACCCTCGACCCCAGCCACCCCCTCACCACCATGCTGACGATGGCACGATCCCCAGGTACGAGCGAGGACCACATGGTGGATTATGTGCGACGCGAACAGAGTGTTTGGTGGTATCCTACCCCTGCTGCTGCATGTGGTGCCTGCCCCGGCATGGGAAGCAATGGTGCCGGAGAGCACGCTGCTGTGTCCCATGATCATACCATGCCTCCCTACATGGCCATCCAAAGGATCAAATTAAACAAAAATAAGCTCATGTGCTGATAATAGTGCTTGAGTGTATATTGTGACGAAGACCTGGTACCCCCGGTCCCGCAACAGCTGACCCACGCTGCGCACGCTGTGCCCCTCCATCTCGGTCACGGCGGGCAGCGCGCGCAGGGCCTCGACGCCGGGCTTGAAGCGCCAGCGCTGCGCGACGCGGGCCTGCGGCCACTGCGTGGTGGTGGTGCAGGCCGTCAGCGAGGCGCCCAGCAGGCCCAGCAGGCCAAGAAAGTAGGGCGCACTATAGATGTGGTCCAGCTGGAGGGGGAGGATGATGGGCCAGGGTAGCCAGACCTGGCCCAGTGGGTAGTGCTCCACGTAGTAGGCGGGGGACTGGCCCTGGTCCACCAGCGTGCCGCAGGCCGACAGCCCCGCGATCACCGCCAGCTCGGCGATGGCCAGGCGCAGGTTGGAGAGCGCACGCAGCGCCACGCGCCAGACGTAGCGCGGTGTGGGGGTGGAGGGCCGCGCGGCGGCGGGGAGCTGCACGCGACGCTGGGCGGAGGGCTCGGACAGGTCCAGCAACCCCGAACTGGGAGCAGGCTCCTCGGTGCCGGAGTTCAACGCCTTGGGTGGAGGTGGCCCTGAGACTGATGGGGAGAAGGGGGGTGGGGAGGAGTTGCAGAGACCCGGGGCGCATGGCTTGTGAGGCTAGAAGGGGACTGCAGACAAATGACAGGGCAGTGGGCATCCCCATGCACAGCTTCAACCCTCGACCCCAGCCACCCCCTCACCACCATGCTGACGATGGCACGATCCCCAGGTACGAGCGAGGACCACATGGTGGATTATGTGCGACGCGAACAGAGTGTTTGGTGGTATCCTACCCCTGCTGCTGCATGTGGTGCCTGCCCCGGCATGGGAAGCAATGGTGCCGGAGAGCACGCTGCTGTGTCCCATGATCATACCATGCCTCCCTACATGGCCATCCAAAGGATCAAATTAAACAAAAATAAGCTCATGTGCTGATAATAGTGCTTGAGTGTATATTGTCGCACATGTGAAAGTTGCTCGGGAGCCTCACATGGAGCGTAGGGCAGTTCCATGCACGAGCGGCATCGCTATCGGGGGGAACTCCTCCTTTCCACCCCGCTGCGAACTCGACCGTGATTCTGACAGATGGGGACTCGCCCGCAGTACTCCGACGCCTACGCGGAGCCTGGCGGCAATCCGCGACTGGGCACACCGGCCTTTAAATATCTCCAGATCAGCCTGGCCCTGGGATGACAGCGATGCGACGCCTGTGACCGTTCCAGCGATGCAGGGTGCCGAGAGCGCCCGAGCGCAGGCTCCGGTCAGGACCAGGGAGGAGATGCTGCAGGAATGGAGGGAGCAGCGTGCTGTACGCATCTCCGGGAAAGCCGACGTAAAATTGCAGCAATCTTCGGCCCCGGCGCCCTCTGGCGATGCTGGGAAGGAAAACCATGGGACCACCAGACCACCTATGGCGAGTCACAAGGTCACCCAATCCCAGCCGGAGCCCCATTCCGCCCCTTCTCGAGGCGTGAATTCCATCGCGGCCCGGCTGGAGAGTTTGAAGCGGGAGTCCCTGCGGCCCTCCATAGCCCCACCCTCCACTTCCCAGGCGGGGATCCAGTTTGAAGCTGCGGGCCCCGTAGACTCCACCGCGCTGCGTCGCCTGGCGGGGCAGCTCTTCGACGACGAGAGCTGGAAGCAGCTGTACGATAAAGGGATGAACGCGAAGCTGACGCGAAGTAGGGATGGGGCCACCGAGGAGACCAAGATAAAAGAACTTGCAGGTATGATGTTAAGGGGTTGATGGGGAGGATGACTGACCCTGACACTGCATAGGTTATTGTCATCAATATTCCTTTATCGCAATCCATGGAGACCAGAAGATTATCCTCCGCATCCATGCTGCTAACAGACATGGTCAAGCTCTTGCGGAGGGCCCTGAAGGAGCTCCAGGGAAGGACTCAGACCTTCATCGATCAAAGCTGTCGATTTGAGCGAGACATAGGACAGCAGGCAAGGGCATTGATGAGGGTGCCGCGTTTGCGAGGGGGAACCGGGCGACACCCTTAGTGGGGAGACTCTGCACAACACAGCACCAGGATGTGCCATCCACACAGACGGCAATCCTCCCGCCACTGCTCCAACAGGTGGAAGCCGCCAAGCTGTCAAGTGAGTCTGGGGCCATGGCCGCCCACGCCGAACTGGCCAATGCCAGGCGAGAGGCGGCTGCCGCCGCAGCAGCTCACAAGAACGCGCTGGCCGTCTGGAAGGTGCGGAGCTGGCGGTGCGGTCATCCCTGTTTGCTCATCACAGTGCATGCAGATGGTGCCGAGCAGCCAGGGGACCGGGTCGGGTGCGCATGCTGCGCTCTGTCGTCTCCGGAACCAGGATTCCTGGTGACCTATCTCCATACAAACGCACACCATCCCCGCCGCAGGGCGAGCTGCAGGGGCAGCAGGCAGAGGTGGCGCGCCTGCGTCGCGAGTCCGACCGGCTGCAGGCCGAGGTCACCCGGCTGAGCGGCGAGGCGAGGCGGAGCGAGGCCGCCCGCGCCGCGGCGGAAGAGGCGGCCCACGACGCCAAGCGCGCGGCGACGCTGGCAGCGCGAGAGGCTTCTGGCGCCAAGCTCGCCCTGGAGCGCGACTTGGCCTCCGAGCGCGAGGCCTCGGCCGCGGCTCGGCTCGGCGCCGAGGCAGAGCAGGCCGCCGCCAAGGCGGAGGCCGAGCGCCTGGCCGCGCGCCGCGACGCCGCGGAGGCCCGTGCCAAGCTGCTGGAGGGGGAAGTCGCCGGCATGCGCGTGGAGCTGCGTGAGGCGGACGTGAGGCTGCAGGCCACCACCGCCGACTGCGAGGGCGCGCGACGCCAGCTGGCAGAGCACCGCGCGGTGCATGACCGCGTGGTGGCCGACGCCGCCGCCGTGCTCGCCGAGCTCCAGGACTGGCAGGTGAGCGGGGTCGGTTGATGTTTTGGTTGTTATTTGTGGGGTGAGGGGCCTTGCAGGACTTGGACAGTCCATGGGTGGAGCCAGAGAGGGATGGCGTATGCTGAGCACTGTCTCATGCATGTTGCAAATTTGGCGAAAGCCGCCTGAGAGGGTAATGTGACCTAGGCTTAAGGAAAGGGAATAGGCCACTCAATCAAACGCCGGGCTTGGAGTCCCCAGGCACAACCCTGCCTAAACCTTCCTCCCCCACAGACAAAGGCAGCGACGCTGCTTGAGGAGCTGGAGCGGGAGAGGCAGCGGGCGGGCCAGGCAGAGGCCCAGAACGCCGCGACCTCCGCGCAGCTGGCAGAATCCCAGGCATCCGCGGCCGCGCGAGAAGCCCAATTACAGGTACTGGTTGGTTGCGGGTTTGAGCTGTGGATGGTGGAAGCCTGTCCAGTTGCCGGCATGATGCTCGATTGAGACAATAGGGGGAGAAAGGTGCCGTGCTGCAAGCATGACCCCCGTCAGGCTGTGATGTTTCTCTACATCGTCACACTCGGTAGCGCCATACTGCAGGAGGGCCTCGCGGCGGCACTGGAGCGAGCGGCAGCCGCCGAGGCGGCGGGCCGCGCGGCGCGCGAGGCGGCCAGCGCCGCGCAGGCGCGCTGCGACGAGCTCGAGCTGGCGGTCCGGGCCCTGACCAGCGACCTGGAGGGGAGCCGGGCGGAGGGTGCGCAGAGCGCGGCGCGGGCGGAGGGCTTGGCGGGGGATCTGGCCGAGGCGAGGCGCGGCGCCGAGGCGCTGGAGGCCTCGCTGGGCTCGAGTCGCGAGGAGTGTGCGGAGGCGCGGCGGGCCGCCGCCGACGCCTCGGCCCGGCTGCAGCGGCTGGAGGGGGAGCTGGAGGCACTGCAGGAGTGCACGCTAGGCCTGGGGTCGGGGGACCAGGGCGAGATGCTCAGCCGACTGCTGCACCGGGTGGGGGCGCTGGAGGGCGCGCTGCTGGCTTCCGAGACCAGGAGGCGGGCCCTGCACAACACCCTGGTGGAGCTGCGCGGCAACGTGAGTCGGCAGAAGTGCTTGCTGTATTTTATGTTGGGATTGGGAGGGGTGAGGAGGGGTGAGAAACTACTTTGGAGAGGTGGATGCCTTCACAGTGGGCGAGAAGGTTGGCATGCACAGGCAGAGATATTGTTGCCCCACAGCACGTTTGTGCGGTGCTGGGATTGCAGAGTCTCACACCCGATTCCTGCGGCGACCTGGCCCTGCCGCCTCCACCAGTACCCCGACGCCCTGCCGTGTGTGGATGTCCATGTCGTCCCCTCAGGGATGCCTGTTCAATCTGTACATGTGCTTACAGCCATCACACTCAACACCCACCCCCACCAAAGCTTCACCAAACCTCCACACCCCCCACCCAATTTCCATGCCCCAGATCCGCGTGTTCTGCCGCATCCGGCCCCACCCTGCGAGCGTGGTCCGCGTGGCCCCCGACGGCTGCAGTCTGTGCCTGTCCGCCGAGGGGCGGGAGCACACCTTTGCCTTCGACCGCGTCTTCCCGCCGGGTGCGACCCAGGCTGGGGTGTACGAAGGCGTGGCGGAGCTGGTGCAGAGTGCGCTGGACGGCTACAAGGTCTGCCTCTTCTCCTACGGCCAGACGGGGGCGGGGAAGACGCACACCATGCAGGGCGCGGCGGCCGGGGAGGGCGCGGGCGTCGTGCCGCGCGCGGTGCGCCAGATCCTGGCCGCCGCGCGCGCCGCGGCGGACCAGGGCTGGGATTATGCGCTGCAGGCCGCGTTCGTGGAGGTGTACAACGAGACCCTGCGCGACCTGCTGGCCGAGCGGCGCGGCGAGGGCCGGCTGGGGGACGGCGGCATCCTGCACGCGCCCGACGGCGGGCACACGACGGTGACGGGGGCCACACGGCTGACCATCGCCAGCGAGGAGGACGCGGCGCTGCTGGTGGCGCGCGCCGCGGCGGCGCGCAGCGTGGAGGCCACCGCCATGAACGCCGCCTCCTCCCGCTCCCACTCCGTCTTCCTGCTGTACATCACGGGGCGGCACGCCGCCTCCGACACCGCGCTGCACGGCTCGCTCGCCCTGGTGGACCTGGCCGGCAGCGAGCGCCTGGCGCGCAGCGGCGCCGAGGGCGCACGCGCCAAGGAGACCTGCAGCATCAACAAGTCGCTGTCGGCGCTGGGGGACGTGTTCCAGAGCCTGGCCGCCAGAGCCGCCCACGTCCCCTACCGCAACTCCAAGCTCACCTACCTGCTCCAGCCGTGCCTGGGGGGAAGCGGTGAGCGGGCACCATGCGTGGGGTGGGGGAGGGGGGTCTGGGGTGGCGGGAGGGAGGGTACTGCTGATGGGGAAGGGGGGGCGGCTCGAAGGTTTCGAGGCCCAGGGGTTTGTGAGAGGAGGGGCAGGAGAGCTGCCCCTGTATCACCATGGTTGTCTACAGCAGTTGGTGATGCATGCCTTGCCTGAGGAGGGGAGGGCCTGCCATGCACCACTTTTCCAAAGCAAAACCTCCATCCAATGTGCAAGCCTTCTGAGCAGTCCTCCTCACAGTGCCATCCCCCTCCACACCCACAGGCAAGACGCTGATGTTCGTCAACATCAACCCCGAGCCCGAGTCTGCGGGGGAGACGCTCTGCTCCCTGCGCTTTGCCGCCAAAGTGAACTCGGTGGAGACGGCGGCAAAGGGGGGGGCGGCACGCAGCGTCTCCACCCTGTCAGAGGTGAGGAGGAGAGTGGGAGGCACACTGGCGGGCTTTGGTGATACCAGCGGCAAGGCATTGCGCATAGCAACCTTCAAGTGCACATTGTACGGTTCCAATCAACCTCTTGCTCTCTCCCAAAACACAGATGACGGGGAGGCCTTCGCTGGCCATGGGTGAGGGGGACGCAGCACGGGCCACCGCCCTCAAGCGGCGAGCCTCGCCACGCGTCTCCAAGACCAGCGCCAGCCGCGTCGTCAGGCCTCGGTGTCCCTGAGCTGGCCTGGGCCCCTGCCCCTCCTTCCCTTCACGCTGACCTTCTCGAGTGTGTTATTGCATTGCCACCGCAGGTGCATATTTCCCGGGCACATGTAGAGTTCCGACTGACTTTCTAAGGGTTTCGAGGGAGGGCAGGATGGTCTCAGCCAAAGGACGGTGTTCTGCACAAGTCTTTGTGCCATGAGGCCTGGTGATCAGCAGGGTTGGCTGGAGACGCTTCCTGCATGCTCTCCATCGGCACCTCCCTGCACGGAGGCTGGTGTCTCCCCAGAAACGACGCTCAACGATCCTTCCGGGACTCGTCAGGGGCGGCCTGCGGCTGCCCAGAGGCGGCATCCCTGTCCCTGGGATCCACGGCGGGAGGAGTGGAGCTCTCCAGCGTCACCTCCAGGGGAGCGGCCGAGCCCCGCTCGCCCCCACCGTCCTCGACCCCTTCGGCTGCCGAGACACCGGCCCCGGCATGCGGCGCGTCCTCCCCCTCCACCGCGGCCAGTGCCTCGTGCTCCGGCTCCTCCTCGATGGCCTCCGTCATCTCCACCTCCCGCGTGTAGGCCGGCAGCGGGGCCAGGCCGACGGGTGAACGGACCGAGGGCCTGATGCCCGAGTCCTGCCTGCGAACGACCTGCGCGGCGCTGCTCGCGGGCTCCGCGCGCGTGAAGCCGCCCGGCCCGCTCCCGTCCGCCGCGTCGCCGGCGCGCGCCGCACCGCCCTCGTCCTCGGCCAGGAACTTCTTGGCCGAGGCCAGGGTCTGGTGCACGACGCGCTGCAGGGTGGGCCAGAACTTGGCCGCCACGGCGAGCGCCCCAGGCAGCAGCCCGTTGGCCATCTCCCCCTCCACATCCAGCTCCTGCGGATGTGTGGGGTGGGGGGGTAGGATGGGTGGGATCCAGAGTCAGGGGGTGCTGGAATGGGGGTACGCGGCGGGCCGAGGTGCCAGCCCCCGCGACAGCAATCGCAACGTGGGCGCAGTCACTGAACCCAGCAGCACCCACGTTGTAGACGGTGCGTGCGAAGAGGAAGGCGAGGAGGAGCAGGAGGAGCCAGAGCGGGTTGCGCAGCACGGCCATGGCCTCGTTGAAGCCCAGCACAGCCATGGCGGCGATGGCCCACAGCGGCGGCCCGCGCGCGCCGGCCAGGCGGTTGGCCTCGCGCGTGGCGGCCGCCTGCTGCACCGCGATGGCCGAGTCGGAGGAGAACTGGCGCCAGATTGCGCGCACCGCCGGCGGGGCCAGCAGCACG